TAAACTAACTAACTAACTAAACTAACTAACGTACTTAAGTAAGTAGGTCTGTTTATTGGATGTATTTTTCTGGGTGGCAGATACATGTTCGTGTATGTATGTGACCTGGAAAAATCATATATAGACATGTATATTAGTAGACATTACTTGTACATGGACATGTGTATCTTCTTCAATTAATACATCTTAAATGTATCTAAATGTACATCTAATACTTCATTTTGGGGATACAAAGGCTGGAATTATCCTTTCTTTCATTTTTCCTCACTCTAAAAAAGTAGAGTCCAATCATCAAGTGCTTAATGCTATCTGCTCTTTCCAACAGCTGTCAACACAGTCCTACAACAAGAACACACACTGAGCAACACTGCTATCACAGTGAAGCCTTACTACGAGTGCCTGGGAGAGACACTGGATGACCATGACCCTGCAGCATTCAAACTCCCTGACCCCATCCAAGTGGAGGTCAATGCTGATGTAATGAACTTCATCTCTTCCACTGAAACGTACATGAAAGAACTCACAAAAATGATGGAGGACATCCATGCAACTGTGGACTGGAACCCAAGTCTTGGAAGAGTTGTTGTCGTGGCCCCAACAATGACCCCTGCACTGAAAGACGTCCACAAGGTCATCCAGGATTGGGCACAGAGAAGCCAGACGTGTATAGAAGAGTATCTCAAGAAGTTTCGGGCAGTTCAGTTTTCTGTGGCCCCAAACATTTGGAAGCATGCTAAAGATAAGGAAAAGAACATAGTTGAGAATATTGCCACATCCAACAGAGAAGCTGTCTGGGTTGATGGATATGACAACGAAGAAGGTGGTGGATCTATAGAGATCACTGGGACAGTGGAGGCAGTTGCTGAGGCTTCTAAGCAGTACAAAGCCATGGTTGATGAGATAGAGACACACCTGAAAAGAGAGGCATCCATCGTGACAGACCGCATCTCTAACGTCAAGGCTGCGAGGCTGAAGCTGCTAGACATGCACAACTTTCCTTCCAAACATCCCAACTTAGAAATACAACTTCACATTGACAGAGAGGAAGTGTATTTCAAGGGTCAGCAGGCACTGGTCACCAATGCCAAAATCAAAGCTTACGAAGTTCTGAACAGTTTGATAGAAGAAAGAATCCACCTGTCTCGTGGAATACGAGAATATCTTTCGTCAAACAAGGGAAGAGCGTTCGTAGAAAGGTCCTTGCAGGAGCAAGAAATCGTTGCAACTTGTAGCACAGACAGTGCTGAAGTTATGATTCTGGCAGTGGATCCTGAAGACGTACAAAGTGCAAAACACTTGTTACAACAGAGTATATCAGAGACAAAAATTGATGTTCCTGAAGATAGTCAAGACCTGCTGGACACCCGTGGATGGGCTGATCACATTGGACACTTAAAAGACATGTTGGCAATTGACATCCATGCTGATACAACAGGCAGTGTGTGGATTGTTGGGCCTTCAGAAATTGTGCCTTCGGCAAAAGAAGAAGTTAACAACTACATAGCAAACAACACCATTGTCAATATTAACATGGATGTTGGTGAGGGGTGTATGAAGTTTCTTCAGGAATATCATCGCAGTGCCATCAATAGAATAGAGAAAAAGCTGATGGACCATAAAGTAAAGATAACTCAAACTGGGAAAGGCTTCATACTTCGAGGTACCAAAGAGGGAACACAGACTGCCAAGGCTGAGCTGCAGGACCTTGTGTCAGCTGTACTGATAGACACAATGCCGATAACTAAGCCAGGTGAGGCTCAGCATTGGTTTGAACTCTCAATTTCATATTATACATTAACCAGTAGTCCATAAAACTACAAATGTACTTTAGTGACTATGTACAATGGCCAAGTGTATCACTTTCATACATGTATTTCTTGCCTATTGCACAGAGACAACAGTCTAATTTTTATGGTCTTTCTTTCTGCTTAGTCTCTAGTGTAAGTTTTTAATTGACAAGATTCTATTATGTTTTCAGGAATGTACAAGTTCTTCAAAGAGAATATGGGAAGGGTGCTGCTCAAGGTCATAGAGAGAGAAGAGAAGGTGGTGATCTCAACAGAGGACATTCGGGAAGGTGCAGCAGCGTCTGGTGCTGGAGGGGCAGTCTCTAGATCTGCCCCTAAAAAAGTAAGGCAGCAAATTTAGTTGCTAATTAGACTCTATTTAGAGTGTTCATTTGCTCATGTTAATATGTTATCATGCCTTTGTGAAGTTTGTCAACCTAGATTGATATATTTAACATATTGTGCAGCAAGCTGTAATAACGTTAAGTTTTCACCTGTATTGTTACTTCATTATATATATAATATATCAAAATCATCAGTCTATAATAACACAACCATTGTCAGCGAGTTCCACTTTACCATAGTTTCAGGAAAAATGAATGCCTCAATCCACTGTTGATAACTCTGGTACCTGAAGTCCTAATACACCTGTTGCACAGATCTGTAGTGTGACAACCAAGGAAAGGAAGAAGCTGTTTGTCTGCCAGGGAGACCTGACTGCTCTACAGGTGGACGTCATTGTTAATGCAGCCAACAGAAGACTGAATCACGTAGGGGGTCTGGCCGCAGCTGTAGTGAAAGCAGGTAAGGGCTGATTTTTTTTCTCTCTCTCCCTCCCTCTCTCTCTCTCTCTCCTCTCTCTCTCACCCCTCCTCTCTCCCCCCTCCCTCTCTCTCTCTCTCTTCCTCTGTGTGTGTTTCTGTTAATCTTTATCTCTCATTTAATGATTCATGCTTAAAATAGGTATGATGTTGAAGTTTGGCCAGCTTATACTAGGTGTATATAAGGAATGCAGAAAGTAGAACTATGTCCAACCATTTTCTAACATGCTCTGTACTCTACACAATGGAAACTAGTTATGCTTGTACTTGGTACTATTGGTCGGATTTTGCTTTGATTGGGCATCTTGGAAATGTCATGAAATAATTCTCCCTAATCCTTTCACTTCCTCAGGAGGCAAGGAGATCCAGAGGGATTGCGAAGCCCACATCAGGACCTCAGGCGAGCTGAACGATGGAGAAGTCATGACCACCAAACCTTACAGACTGCCCTGCAAGATGGTCGTCCATGCTGTTGGACCTCAGTGGAAGTCAGGTGAGGCACTTTTAACCTGGAATTCATCCCAAAAGTCATGACAGAAGCACCCGTACCATATTTCCAGCATTTACAGTCGCATTTGTCGTAGGTGATTGTACGATTTTTAAAGTACAATTTTCCAGCAAGCTATAGCTATGACAGAACCGACGTCGACTGGTCACAAGAATCTTGCAGGAAACATGCACGGCTATCCCAAGAATGATGGCCTCAGCTTTGCACTTGTGCAGCAATTGCACAAACATTTTTATGTTTAGTTTACACTGTGAACATGACAAAACAGAATCTGTACTCTCTGCTGTTTGCAGATTTACCTGAAGATGAGAAGAGTGGAAAACAAGCTGATCTGCTCCGGGCAGTGTTCAGCTCACTTCAAGAGGCTAAAGACTTCCACAGCATTGGTGTACCAGCTATCAGCTCAGGTCAGACTGTGGAAACAGTTACTGTAAATCTTTAAGCTTTCATGTGCCCTTAAATCACCAACAAAATCTCCTTTTTCTCCTACCGCAAAAAAAAAACACTGCAAAAGGATTTACAGTGTACTTTACCAGCAAGATGTATATGTAATGTTAACAGTTTGCAAGGCGTTGAATGTCCCAAGTTAGCAGTTCACAAGTCTGCTTATCAGAGAGGAGTTTCTCTGCTAGTGACACTGTTTCTTTACTACTTCATCTCCATACATTGAAGTTCTATTGCTGTTTTACCTTCTCCAAAAGGGCTATTTTTTGGGCCGTGTGTCTTTCTGTCTGTTTGTCTGTGAACAGCATAACTAGAGAAGTTGTGGATGGAATGATATTTGGTTTGTGGGTAGGTGTTGGCAAAATGCAGAAATGATTAGATCAATGACATGGTGGCTTTCTAAACTTTAGCATAACCTCTGGTTTTAATATCTCATGTTCTGGACATGTTTTCTGACTATGTTATCCACTTATTGTTTTATAGGTGTCTATGGCTATCCAATTGATTTATGCGTGAGTACAATCCTGGAGGGAGTGATGATGTTCTTCAACATGTATCCTAACAGCAAGTTGTCAGAAGTGTACTTCACAGAAATGGATGCAAAAAAGACGAGTGCCTTCAAAGCTGAGATGGTGAAGAGGTAAGGCATAATAAACTCCTATAATTCAGCACCTTAAGGGACCATGTATTATGTCAAGAAATTGAATAGCTAAAACCAATTTCTAAATTAATTGATACTTTTTGTCACCCTTTACTTAAATTAATAGATATCTGGTACAAAATGGCTACCTTAGAGGGAGGAGGTTTCAGCTTTTAAATACCCAATGTATCAGATTTAAGGTCATAGTCCGTCATACATACACGTATACTTTAAATGCTGAGGAATGATATAGCTAATGTTTTTTAGTATCAGCACAGCTTTGGTACAATCGAGCAACTGCTATTTGTTATTTTTTAATTGCTACCCCCATTCTTTGACATTACCAAAAACTTTTGATATGGACAGAGGTCTGACCATGGTGCTGAAAGTCAAATTTGAGTACTTATGAGAGAATTGTAATGTCAAAAATACTCCAAGTTTTGCTGATAACTTAATGTTTTGTTGGTAATTAATTGCTGATAACTAATTGCTACCTCCATACTAGGGGATAATACTAGTACCCAATACGATGGAAATGGGTCTGTCTATGGTACTGAAAGTCATACTTAATGCAAAAAAATACAGTTCTGCATTTCAGTAAATGTATGGAATGGAGAGAAGATAACTTCATCCGAAATTTGATAATTAATTCCTTGTACAGACAACGTTGTGAATGTTGCTATGGAAGTGGCAAAGAAGACTCTCATACATTACTCTATAAACTGCAGGTTTGGTATGGATTGTGTCACAACAGTGACAGATGGTAGTAGTGGGTCAGTCTCCTCTGGAGCTGCCGCCATGCCAGGCCCGTCTGGTATTGGCAGGGAGAGGGCTTCTGCACACAAACAACCTGCAGCATCCAACACTGGACATGGGGACTCCATCAAGACTGCAGAAGGTCTTACTCTGCAGCTGAAGCAGGGAGGCATTACTGCTGAGCAGGTACACATGTACAAATGTACATGTACAACCACAATGATTTAGCTTGATAATCATTGTTGTTTTTGCTTAGGCCTAGGAACAATTATGTCATATTTCTGGTTACAGTCCTGAAAGAAATAGGGTCAGGATGTAGGGAATTGTCTTTTTCCTTTCCTTTTTTTTTATTTAAGCTCAGCTGATCCAACAAATACAGTTTGACAATGTAAAACTGAAATGCATTACACCACACCCTCAGCTTGCTTGTGGGATGGAGACAAGTATTTCACCCAGTTTACTTAATGAAATATTGATTCAAAATGTGTGAAATATCATTTCAGAGGCTTTGAAATTCCGATGTCAGGTCAAAAATTTAACGGTCTTGCCAGCGGACCAAGAAAAGGCTGGTGTCAGTGGCAAATTGGAAACACAATGATTTTTTCTTAAGCTTTAGCCACTAGCAATTAGTCAAACTGTTGTTTGTGCTATATTTATTTTGTTTGTTTTCTAGGCTGATGTTTTGGTGAACACAGTTGGAACAGATCTGGATCTGGGACAAGGAGGTGTGGCAGGTGCCTTCCTGAAGGCAGGGGGACCTGAGCTACAACAGGTGAGGTCCATCTGTATGCAAAAGATTTTTTTTAATATTCTGAGTGGAACCATTCATTTTCCAAACATCCTTCTAGAGTAATCCCAGACAATGCTCCTTGTAAATGCCAAGCCTGGAATTTTTTTGGTTTGTTTGAATCATTCTATATTCATGAAGGCTCAAACCGATATGCAAGCAGCTTTTTGTTGAGGTAATGAGGGAAGAGGTAAGGGTCTATAAAATATATCGACAAGACAAAGTTTATGTATATCATTCAAGTAGAAGGCATTATATAAGCAATTGAGCTTTTTGCTTGATACTTGCTGAATATATGTGAATAAATAACATATCATTCAAAGTCCTACTAAAACCATACACACCTTAAATATATGATAATTATATACATTTTGTATGTGGTACAAAATACACACACAACAGTGAAATCTGGCATCTGCATGGTCGTGTACGTTCGTTTCGGTCATTTCTCATTTCTGTCTTTTTCAGCTCTGTAGTGCTCATGGAAAAGCCAAGCCAGGGGATGTAGTTGCAACACAGTCTACTGGAGGGCTTATCTGTCAGCAAGTGTACCATGCAGTCATCCCTTGGTGGAAGAACACAGACACTGTAAGCAGCAGTTGATTAGCCATACAGTACTATGCAAATGTGTGAATTTGAATTCCATAGGCAGTTACACAACAGTTTTGAGTTTACAAGTACAAGCTGTGTGATTAGAGTCATTGCATAGATATATTGACCATCAAGGCCTGACCAGTGGAAGTGTATTGAAGTCAGGCTAGTTTTTCACATGTATTTTCATTTTTCCCACAGCCTCTACGTACAGTCATCCAAACCTGCCTGACCATGGCCCATAACAGTGGGTTCACTTCCATTGCCTTCCCAGCCCTGGGCACAGGGAACCTGGGATATCCCAGGAACGTTGCAGCCAGCGCCATGTTTGAGGAAGTTGCCAACTTCAGCCAAGCAAATGCTAGGACATCACTGAAGGTAATGAATTTGTATTGATCAGAAAGTAAAAAAGGAATCAGAGATTTCAGATGTCCAAGATCTGTTATCATGTTTGACGCTAGTGTATGGTGGATATGATGTTATAATTATAATATACTGTAATTATTGCTTGTTGTTGGAATACTAGTAGTAATTGTAGTACTGCATTTTGTCACCAGCATGTCAGCATCGTTGTGTATGACCAGCCAACTGTACAAGCGTTTGAGGCAGAACTAAGGACAAGACAGGGGTTGCCAGGAGCAACAGGGTTGCCAGGAGCAACAGGGTTGCCAGGGGCAACAGCTGTGACAAGAGACCCTTCAGTATCAGGTTAAGTGTACAATTTGATTATCATTATATATATCAATCATTATTTCCAATTTTTTGGATTTCTAAAAAAGATAGCAAGAAAACAAAGAGAGCCCAAAAAATTTCTTTTACCTAATGAATGACTATTCAATACATGCAATACTGTTTGTGAAGATGTTCTTGTATATTTTACTTCACAGGTTTCTATTCAGCTGTGACAAGTCCACTGCCCAACCAACAGCAGATGACCATTGGAAATGTCACCCTGCAGATCCAGCAGGGTGACATCACCACAGAGACAGTGGATGCCGTTGTTATACCTACCAACAACATGCTTCGTAAGCTTCAAGTTTCTGTCCTGTAATACATTAAATGGCTGAGTGATCATCTTGTCCCCACAATTTGGCTGTATTACACTTTTAAAAGTGCAAGTGCCACCTCTTACTGCAAGGATAGAAGAGCATGCAAATGATATAGTTGTCATCGTTTAAAAAATGGTACACTGTACTATATTTACCTGGTCTAATACTCCTTACAATTTTGATATATTCGTTATATGATGCATTTTTTTTACAAATATTTCTTGTTTCTATTTTTTGTTAGATATCGATATAAATTGCTAAATGTCTGGTAGTTATATAATCAGATGTACATAGAAAAATTGTTAGTTATTAAAGTTAATACAAGTACACTTTGGATGGGATATACAGTATATATTTCCTGCCATCTGACATATACAGAGCATCTATTTCATCTTAATGTAGGTCTAGATGCAGGTATAGCTCAGGTTGTTTCCAAAAAGGCTGGTGGTGGCCTCCAAGCAGAGTGCCTTGCTCACATCCTGCAATATGGTGAACTCCAGAATGGAGCTATAGCTATAACTGGTATGTTGATTATGTACTTTTTGTGTTACATGCTAGAGGTTGTGTTATATTAAGCTGGTACAGGTGAATGAATGAAGCATAAGGATAAGTTCTCAAGGATAAGATCTACACATTCTCACATAATATACTAAAATCAGTATGCTGTATATTAGATGAAACCCCATGACATTGCTGTGAGTGACAAGGCATACCATGTACATGCACATGTTGTATGTGGTTATGACTTGTTTACTTCACAAATCTGTTTTTCTTTCTTTTGTCCTGGACATGCTACGGTCTTGATTTTTTTTGTGTGGCAGGTAGCTTGTCATATCTGGAAAAAGTTCAGGTGACCTAGCATTATGTTGTGGAACTGCAAGGGTGTTTGATATACCAGAAATCGCACACCTGTCCCCTCCAGGTGCAGGAAGCCTTCCATGTAGACACGTGTTCCACCTGGCCAACCCTCACCCCAACCACCTGAAGGACAACATCAAACTCTGTCTCCAGACTGCAGACCAGAGAAAACTGAAGTCTGTTGCACTGCCTGCCATTGGGACAGGTACAGTTCAGTTCAAACTTAAGTACTGAAAGTAAGATGGGAGAAAATATAATACATTATTTTCAACCTTCAAATACAGTACTGTTACACATAAGTGTAGAACCCTTGAAGACATGTCGTTTTTTGCTTCAAAGATGGTGTTTGTGAATAACAAAAAGAATCAAAGGTAATAAACATTGTATGACTACATGTACACCTCTAATAAATAAGGACAGGTCAGCTATGTTAATAGGTTTGATAGTGTATTTTGGAGATCTTAGAGTATCTTTTGAGAGCAGTACACACATACACAGGTATGCACCTGGCAGAATTATGTTAGAAGATGTTAGCTAGCTTCCTTACAAGAGTCTCTTCATGATATTCAATGTACAGGAGGGATCAAGATCAGTCCAGACCAGTCAGCTAAAGGCATGCTGGATGGCATTGCAGAGTTTGTACAACAGTGTAACCCCCAGACCCTGGGTCTGGTCCGGATCACCATCTTCCAGCCTCAAATGCTGCAAGCATTCCACTCAGAGATGGACAACAGAGCAAAGAGCTCGGGTGTCAAGTTGACTGGGATTAGCAGAGTCCTAGAGACAGTTAAAAGTAAATACAGTGTACTTCACAATTATGTTTTGATAGAGATATTTGCTTGTTTCTCTACTTGCTATTTGCTCAAAACACTCAATTGAATGCTTCCCAGACATTTTACGCTAAGATGCTTAATGCTGTCCAAACCTTTTGCAGACAGGACACCTGGTTCTAACTCTAATCATTATTAAACCTCAATTCTAATCTTAATTCTAACACTAACAGTACCGAAATTTAGCTACAAACATGTGAAAGCAAAATTTCTTGAGAAATGTCCTGATACCAAGTACTTGAAGAAATTTGAAACGATAGTGATTTTTCCCTCTAGTGATGATCAAAATGTTTTTGCAGAAGTTGCAAGGAATGTCTCGAACAAGTTGAGACCGAGCACCAAGAAAGTGGCATCTACACTGGGTTTCACTTCCTGGGATGGGACAACTGATCCGACATCTCCTTCAACTGAGTCGTCTGGACGTTCAGAGATCCTACAGATGAACTTTTTTGGTGCCGACCAAAGAAGCATTGACTCTGCCAAAAGGAAGGTTGAAGGTCTTGTGACAGAGAAGTCGAAAAATGAAGTGATTGAGAATGCAGCGATAGCTCAGCTCACACCAGAGGAAATCAGACTGCTGGTGGCGTATGGACGTCAAAGAAACGTACACCTCACTGTCGGTAAGCCTCCCAAATACTGTTACAAGCACATAAATTGCTATAAACAAGGCACTTGTCTGAGTGTTAAAACTTAAAATGACATCTCTTACAAATATGTCTGAAATGAAAATCATTAGTTGCCTTTCCACATCTGTTCATCTTCAAGTTAATTGGAAGGAATTGTCTTGCTTTGCCAAGAGTTGTATACATAGTTTGACCTACATATTAGATGTTGAATGTAATAATATAAACAGGGAATGATAAAATGACCAAAATATGATATACAAAAATCATGTATGTGTCGTAACGTGGTAGTGATTATCTTAATTCACCTTCATATTTCAGAACAAGGTGCACGCCATCGCATCTGCATCCAGGGCACCAGTGACATGACATCATCAGTCATCTCCAAAGTCTGGGAAGTTTTAAGCATCAAGATTGAGGAGAGTAGGAAGTTTGAATCAGCTCTGTCCTTGCAAAAGGATGTACAGTGGTAAGTCATAAACTCATTGACACTTTTGAGAGTACCATTCAATTTGCAACGTCACTTTCACAGATATTTCTTGAAATTGTGTTTACAATCATTTTTACCTCAGGGTACAGAGGTATTGTTTAGGGTGTGTATGTATGTGTGTGTTTGCTTGTGCCCACAAGTATTTACATGGAGTAAGAGGTGGGGGGATTTGGCTACCACAGACAGTCTCCCAGCAGTCTGGGAGGAAGTGAGCCCACCCTCACAGTTACCTATTTACAAACTCTCAGCCTGCAAGGATTCTGCAATGTACATGGTATTGAAGTACAATGTATGTCAGTCCATCTCATGGTTGTGCCTGACTGATGAAAATTGTGACAATAAATTTACAAAAACTGTAAAGTATAAATTTTCCAGAAGTTTAAAATGTCTGATTTCTTGTTGGATTATAAATTGTAATGTTCCTGGCTCCTAGAGCAACACCTTACAACTTGCCTACATATTGTGCATGTTTCAATATGCTAATTATCTATCCTTTAAACAGGTGTTACGAAAAGCCAGATGGCTCCTATCGGGAGTTTGACCCCTTGGTCAATGCAGAAATTGAGGAGGCCTTCCAGGCTAAGAGACCAAAGGTGCAATATGAAGATGAAGGAGAGAAATACGAGCTAGACTTCCAATCCAAACAGGAGAGTAATCTGTCGACTGGTGCCGTGACCAAGGTCCGCAGAGATGACTTGAGAGCTGATACAGGTACATAAATATTCAGGACTATTTATGATTATGATCCTACCTCGACATTTAACTTCCCAAAGCTAATATTTTTTAATTCAAATAGTTAACTGTGTACTAGTTAAGCAATAGAAGAGAAAGGGAGAGTACACATGTACATGACATTGAAGTCTTCTCCAATGTGTCTTTATATTCCTTTGGTGTAGGTTTGTAATGCCCCAGTGCAACAAAATACATATGTGATATCTGGGTAATATACATGAGGCTAACAATACATTGTATGTAACATGGAAAGAAAGTTTGTTCTTGATGAAACACCCCCTATTTTTTAAACATACATGTACTTGTCAACAAAGACTGTACCTGGACACAAGATATTGACCACGGGGTCTATAGTTAACAGCTAAAACCTTTGAGGCTAAATTTACTTGTTATTTTAAGCTCCTAATGCAGCATGTGTGCTCTCAACTGATCCTTTTCAGTTTGACTAACACCTTTCCAAGCTGCTTGTTTCTAAGACACCTTATTCATATCAGGTGCAGGGTTGCCTGCAGGTTGGGACCCCCAGCCGACTGACCCAAGGACAGGAACCCCCCAACTGTGCCACCTGGTAAAACTGGCCCCAAACTCACCCGAGTACAACACAGTCTATGTTAAACTTGGACCTACTGGTAACAGACTGAACATGGTGAATATTGAGCGGGTACAAAACCCCACCCTTTGGAAGCAGTACTGTGTGCAGAAGGAGAAGTTCAGTCAGAAAAACCCCACCAGGTAATGTATGTCTTTATGTTGATGATAGGACTGTAGATTTTCTTTTGTATGGTAGCAAAAGAAGCATTCTTTTGGATTTATGTTATTTTCCCATTTAGTATAGGAATATAGTATTTTTTTAGTATACAATTTAGTAGAAATAATATAGAAATTTATACTAGTATTAATCACAGTCTTCAATAATCAACCTACAAACACAATCATACCTAATTCCACATTTACAGGCAAAATGAACAGGAACTGTGGCATGGTTCACCAGCACAGTCCTGTGTGAAGATATGTCACCATGGCTTCAACAGAAGTTATGCTGGAATGAATGGTAGGTGGAATTTGATAGTTCACTGTCTCTTTATCAGTTGTACAATGTAATTACCTGGGCAGCAAAACTGGATTTTTCTGGGCATTCTTTTGCTGTAGTAAGTTGAATCAATTCTATACCATAGCATACTGATGTCTGTTAGGTAAAAATGTGATGTCGCTGATGGAAAATGGTTGCTTGTTTTGTATCGTAGGCTGGTTCTAGCTATTTATGAGTGGGTACCCCCAAAAATAAACAAAAGGGATCACATAGCTTATTTTGGGGCTATTTTAAACGGTTCAGTTGTACATGTATCAAATGTGCAAAAAATGGCCATAGATACCAGTATTGGACAGATTTACTCATTCAGAATATCTTTTGGTTTGCCGCCTAGATACTACAGAATGTACATTGAACGTTTTTAACACCAATTTTTGTCACCAACTGTGGTAGAGCTTTAGCATGATGAGTTAAGTATATAGACTAAAGTATTGTCAATACACAGCTTATTACACATAGTAGGGCAGGAACTGCTTGTCCTTCTTGTAATGACTTTGTCTTGTATGACTGCATATTCTGTGTGCCACTTTCAGCCACCGCCTATGGTAAGGGCACCTACTTTGCCAGGGATCCTGCCTACTCAGCAGGAGGATATGCCACCCCTGATGCTAATGGAGTGAAACGGCTCTTTCTGGCCAAGGTTCTTACGGGAGAGTATGTCAGGGGAGACCCCAGCATGATTGTTCCTCCTACTAGACCAGGAGGGAATCCTCTGGACACCTATGATTCCACTGTGAATAACGTTAATAATCCAGCTATTTTCTGTGTGTATCACGATGCTCAGGCATACCCAGAATATTTGATAACATTTATGTAACTCTCAACTTTTCATTGAAGACAGTTTATGAAAAAGGTAAAAAATCACCACATTTCTTTAAGGTATAACATCTGTGTCCATAATATCACCAGGGTCCATAATATTGCCACCTTGAGAAACAGTGTGCTTAAAGATATGTTTACTGCAACATACCCTAGATATGTACATTTGATGTGTGAAGGAGTGCATACCAAAAGTATGTTGCAGTAAAAATATCTTTAAGCACACTATTTCTCAAGGTGGCGATATTATGGACCCTGGTGATATTATGGACACAGATGTTACAGCGCCAATAAAATATGCTACTTTTTGTCCCATGTTCAACTCACACATGTGGTCAGTGTATGTGAGGTGTCATGAATTTATGAATTGCATACAGATATTGTTCATTTGATATATTTGTATGTTGGAGTTGGCCTCAAACCGGCCACAAAGCCTTGTTTTCCAACATTTATGAATATACTTCCATCTGTAACTATTTTCCTTCTTGACAAAACAGAGTATATTTCTTTCTGATAAGTAAATGGCAATAACTGTTCAGTCCTTTTCATTCTGTTAAGAATCCTATGCTGTCAAAATCTTTTTAAAGGATTCTTGCATTTGATATCGAGACATTACCCAAGATATACAAGATATTATCCATGATTTACAGACATTATCCAATATGTACAAGGTTGTAACAGGAAAATGCAATGGAAAATGCGATGATAGAGTTATGGCTAATGATGGCACGCTGTTCCTCCAACAAACTGTTTATGGGAATTATCATTTACTATAATACTATGTACCCAAGGAGATAATATATATTATGTAAGTTACAGTTGCTAGTGCTAAGCACATTACAGCAATGCTCAATGCTTTGTGCTATCAGGAAGTTTTGCCCAAATCATTAAACCTTGAAATGTTGGAATCTCAGTTAAAGTTGTCGAGTATAAATTGGAAAATTATTTCTTGTTATTTATATGTAACACTCTAATATTTACATGTAACATTAACATGTTTACTGAATAGTACTTTGAAAGGGAAAGATAAAATCATCGAAACCTTTTAGCCCAGCAGGGATAGTCTTCCAGGGCTCTAAATCCCATATTATAAAGCATATTCCTTTTTTTTTTAGAAGATCGCCATACACATGCAGATGTGGGAAGACTGTGGAAAATCTAATAGGTGTAATAACACTGTAGCTGTGTGGAGAACATGTTACGTTAACTCTCCGAAACTGAAAGCAGTAACAATATTGCATCAGCTTGGAACACGCCCAAGTCATGAGATCATCCTTTCAGGCATCAGTAGACCAGAACATAATGAGTACTATGTAATACAATATGTTCTTGTCTACTGATGCCTGAAAGAATGAGTCATGACTTGGGCGTGTTCCAAGCTGATAACTGCACCGAAACTGGAACTTGTTTTTATCACTTTATATTTATATAATTTCATCCAGACAACCACCACATTATAAGTCTTTTCAGAGTACCAAACATTTGAGTTTATTGAAACATTTAATGTATATTCTTCATATGTAACATTACAGTCACATATCTAATTGCCATATATCTAACACGTTAACCTTGTAACGTTAAACTTAAACTAGAAGGTAGGTATTGTTTATGTATTATACTATGTACCCACGGAGTACCGAACTGGGATTACACACGAAAGCAATAATCTTGCGTCAATGTAATCTTCAACGTTTCTGTATATCACGCAACGATCACGCGGCGATCACGCCATAGAAGCAAGCGACAAACATGATGGTCACGCGATGCTGGTGGGGATTCCCCAAACTTCTAGGCAACGTTACACGTCACCAGGTGTTTCCATGACAGAGTATCGTGCTAACAGCAGTTAGTTAGGGTTCTTGACATTCCTCTTGCCGTCATCAAGATCTGTTGGAGATTTCTGTGCTTTGAAGACGACTTAATGTGTTCTAAGTAAGTACACAATCTGTAAAGAACGTTGCCACGAAGTCAAACGTTAGACCTCCAACTTTAATTTCCGGTTCACACGTTTGACCACGTATTGCATGCCTTCTCAGTTTAGACAAGGGGTCTCTTGCTTTAGAATGCTTAATGTATGGGGTTGTACATGATGTACACCCGAAGATAGGGATATTGTAAGTTTTGGGAATTTTGCTGTATAAACCGATGTAAAGTTCCCGAATTCCTTGTGGCATTGTTCACATGGTCGAGCACCCAGCCTTAACGGTATAGTTACAGTTCAAAAGCGACACCTAGCAATCCTTGTCAACCCTGCATGCCAGTCACGTTCACGTCCTTGGTGCTGAAGTGTACGTCATATGTTGCATACGTTGTTTGTTGCATGCACGTGATACAAGCAGTTGTGACAACGTTAACTTTCAGTCATTTTGCTCATATGTGTAATTAGCTTAGCTACCTAGACAATGAATGCAACAACATATGATTACGTACATATGATTACCCCTGTACTGTACTATTTCCTGCCCTATATATATATTGGTTGTGTTCTTAGGCTGTTCGCTTTACACACATGTACAACTGATGCTACTGTTTTCCAATTTTGCAAAGGTATAGAGACCATGTGACTGGAGGAAGATATCAGGAAAAACAAAATTTGGCCATAGTTCCCACATCGACCAGGCTTGACTCTCATTGTCTCAACTTCTATACCTTTAATTGGCATAATTTTGAGACAAAGGCAAAATGGGAAATTCAATGAGCATCCTGCCTCCCTTTCCCGGTCTCAGGGACAGAGACGGGGACAAGAAAGTAGAAGATTTCGTCCTGCTAGGAGAGGCTTATGTTAGGAAGGGAGTGTCGAGCAAGAATGGTAGAGACTTTACCAAAGCATCGGCACTATACAACGCAGCTTTAGTACGCTGTCGAAACTGGGCCAAAAGGCAGAATCTGATCGAACGAATCAAATCAACAGAAAGTCTGCTACTTCAGCACGTAGCTGGTTTGGATCATGCCGAAATTTCAAGTCGCAAGGATGATGTCGCTCATAAAATTACGCTTCAAAAAATCCGCCTCAGGTGTCAGAAACAGCTGCAAGATATACACGAGTTATGCAACTATTCGGGAAATCCATTACATTGTGCAAAAACGAGGGAAGAAGAGGAGAAAAGAGCCGAGAAGATCCGAGCACTTTATCAACAGATTTCACGGGAAATGAAAGCATTCGTTTCCGACCTTATTCAAGAATGTTTTCTTGTCTTGGGTCCCCCTCCATGTAATTACGCCGCGATTGGACTAGGGTCCTTGGCAAGAGAAGAGATGACTCCATACTCAGACCTGGAGTTTGCCGTACTGTTAGAAGAACGGGAACGCCTGGACAACGAGAAGGCTTACTTCCGCTCAATGACGTATTTGCTACACCTCAAAGTTCTGAACCTCGGTGAGACTATCCTCCCATCCATGTGTATTGAAGAGCTTAGCGACTACAACGATATGAGCAAAGAACAGTTTTACGATTCTGTAACACCCCATGGTTTCTCGTTTGACGGCTGCATGCCTTGGGCGAGCAAGACTCCCCTTGGGCGCGATGAGACGGATACAAAACCGGGCCTTGAACTCATCATGACTCCACGGGAAATGGCAGATGTACAGACAATGAACCGGTCCTTGAGGGAAGGATATCACCTTGCGGATGTTCTCCGTACTGCAACATTGATCAAAGGCGATCAATCGCTGGTTGACGAGTACAGACAAGCAGTATTCGACATACTAGACTCTCCAGTGAGTGACGTTGACAACACCACTGTGGGTCAGAAGATGGCGCTTCAAACACTTTCAGAAGATGTGAACCTTTTTGACCCCACAGCGTTGCACGATCCCTCTAGATCTGGTTTTGGTCTCCTATTTGGTTGTGCCTACGACGTGAAAAAAATGATCTTCCGGTTGATCAGCTGCACTATGCAAAGCATAGGCTTATTATCGAGTACCAAGTGTGATAGACTTGAAGATATTTTGCTATATTTGGAACAACGAGGTCTTATCACTAGCCTTGTAAGGCATAACATTCGGATAGCTGCTGCAATTGCCGATGAGTTGCGGTTAAAGACGTACGTGGCAAACAGGGGACAGAAGGAACTGATCTCGACACTTCCTAAGTTTGAACAGAAGAACACCAACTTTCCTAAAACAGGGCAACTCTTCTACCTTCAGCAGAACCCTGACATGCTTCACCGATTTTACTTTACATCGTATCCGTATCATGAAACCATGAAAACTGTCATTCGAAATGCCAACGAGAGTGGCTATTCAACACTTGAAGGAATGATTAGTAGCTCCTTCCCAGATTCAGGGATCTACGACAACAGTCCTTTGATAAGAGGACTGATGTATTTTGATTTCTTCGAGTATGACAAGGCCGAGGAATGCTTCTTAGATGTGCTGAAGGATAATCCAGGGAACCGTGTAGCTTTGTGGAACTTACTACAAATCTACGCACTTACACATCGCTACAGCAACATGAAAGATGTACTGATGAATAGCAGTGACAGTCTTTCGGCCATTTCGGATGTTATCAATGATAACAGCATTGACTTCCCCGGTCTTCTCGCTAGCGCTTTTGGACAGAACCCTTTTCGTTTGAGGGAACGTGCCAATGAAGACACCGCTAGTGACGGTTCTACGGAACATTCGCCCGTTCACAGCTCGACCGAGGGTGAAGAAGATTCAGCCATCATGTGTGTCCTCAAAGCCTTCTTACCGGCTATAGCAGGAGACTTTGCCGAGGCCGAGTCTTCCCTTGAGCAAGTCATGAAGATCAAAGAGAAATGGGGAAGTGATGAGGAACCTTCAAGTGTGTACTCCAGAATGGCTCACACAATTGACCTGGTTGTTGGCGGGATCTACTTCAACTTGAAAAACTATGAGAAATGCGTCTTTCACCTGGAACTCGGTTTGAAATACTTACAGACATTATATGGCAGCCACAGTGCGCATCCGTTGATGTCATACTGTTTTCTGTTGCTTTCGCGGTCTCACAAGGAGTTGTCAAATCATGAAATGGCCAAAGCCATGATGGAAAACGCAAGAACATGCAGCCGTGCGTCACTGAGTCGCGGCGCGTATGGTTACTACAGCTTAGGGGCAATAGCAATCTCGGCGATGGACGGAAGCGAGAACTCAAGCAGGCACTTTGGTATGGTGCAACAAGCTGCTGATGCGGGAATGGCGTTGAAATTTGCCGCTCATCTTCATATTAACGCCTGTTATGTTTCGGCAGTTAAATGTATAGAAGAGAAAAGGATGCCTGAGGCAGCATGGTATTATAAGAAGCTGCTTTGGTATGTGTTAGAGCTTGACCGCCAAGAGCCTCACACTGACATCTTACGCGACTGTGTACATTTTGTCTCTTATCATGGCTTGGCGTACGCTACAATGATCACTGAGAACATCCTTCAAAATGTATTTCCCGCATTGCTATCCCCCGGAAGCCTAACTCGTTTGTCATCTTCAGCTGAACACAAGTCAGAAAGCCGTACTGACAAGCCAAACAGAAGAACAGAAACAAGCAAACTGGTTCTGGAATATGAGAGACTTCTCGACGTATATCGTCTCCGCTATGGACACGATTGTGATATCTACATGTTACCATTCATCGGTCTATTGCACACCCTTGATGGCAACGCAAGTAAGGGTATCGAGTGGATTTTTGCAACCCTTGAACTGTTAGAGTCTTTGAAAACACTGCCGGCAAACTTTATCGATCTTTTTAATGTTCCTGACGTTGAACGCACCGCTGTTTGTTCATGTTTCTAGTTCTTTACGGGCTTGCCGTCCAATGGCTCACATTTTTGGAGGTGACTTTGTGTTAGCTTGCTTGCTTTCTCTGATGGGCGTGGCGTATCTCTATTATGCATCCGATTTACACAACTCTATGCAATGCTTTAATGATGCTTTACAGACACTAATAGATTACGAAGAAGGCGCGGAAGAAGCCACTGCAGAACAACAAATGAACCTACCCATAAAAACTGACATGGTAGCTAACTGGTGGAGAAATGTACAAGCTGCAGTGGACGCTCTGGGACCTATTTCTCAATCACACCCTTGTTTGTCTGGTTCTGGTGACATTCCTCTTGACTAATCCGAATAGTTTTCTGATATGTATATTGTTTAATATATGTTTAGGTTCAGAGAAGGATAGCTATAGATAGTCAGACACATGGAAGTTACTGCCTTATGTATTCACACACCATACATGTTTTATTTGTAAAACATTCCATACATGTACTGTACAAACGTTGTATCATTTCAATCAGATTGACCCATGTAAGGAATGATGATTATACATTTTTGATTTATTCATGACCTATTATTACTAATTAGTGGAATTTTCTATGAAAGGTCTTTGTCCATGATTGTATTAAAACGTTAACTACTGTGTATGTATGACTGACTCGGCATGTGTGCCTTACTAATGGTGCCACCTGTTGTGATTGGGGAACACCTACACTTCTCATTTGCCTTGATTAAAAAAAAAGTGACAAGCATAACAAAGGCGCCTGTTTGTAAAGTTAGCTGCTCTGTTCCCCTTCAAAATTCCCCGACAGGCCGTTCATGTTACTCTGTGAAACTGGTCATGTGTTTATTGTGATACGTTTGGACGATGAAGCTCTTTAGCCTGAGTGTCAGCCTTGTTAGCTTTCGTCAGATCCCAAGATCCACTCCCCGCCGACAAGTCTTGTTGGCGGGGAGCGGATCTTGGAGAGCGGACGAAAGCTAACAAGGCTGACACTCATGCTAGAAGCTCTTAGGTTTGCGACAGAATTAAATTCCATATGTTCAACCTACATATTTTAAAACAAGAGTACCACGATCTCATACCTTCGTAAGATGATCGTAACATTTATGACTGAATAACTGCAATGTTTTTCACTGTATGAATGATTATATTCTCCACCCAAGGAAAGTCTTAACAAAGTAAGCAATTTTAGCCTTTCTTCATAAATTATGCAAAGGAGGCTCTGATTTCAATAGGTTATGTTCAATGATGTTCACCTTCATTTGACTTCCAAATTCGGTTAGTATGAAATTCCTCACCATTATGAAATTATATAGCATTTTCGTATTAATTATGCAAGTAAGGTATGCAAATTAGGTCTTAATTCATATCAATATAGATAACAGATATCTGTCAATGTCTTATCATTGCGCTGGGAAATACCAGTCTAATAATTATGAACATGGAAATACCGGTCTAATTTAAATATTAACAGTCTCAGCACATGGGGAAATTCTAGATTTGATATGAGGTCATTGACCTTAAGGGACGGATCATCAACGCTCTTGAGCGAGGAGGCTAGTAAAGCTATACATTGTTTACATTCCTTCAGTAAATCATCACTCCCTCACAAAGGTTCATGCATGATCCGTACCAATGTAACCAATGTAAACATTTGCACACAGATTTATAATAGGGAAATAGACGGGGAATTTTTTTTACTGCTTTCATAATAGTGACATTGTTCAAAACAAAAATGTGGGGGTTTTGTGGGAAGAATGATTCAGTCAAGTAGAACGTATAGCAATCACATGTTGGTGAGTAAAACTTACATCGAAACTGTCCCCCAAGGCCCTAAATATAAGCTGGGCTATGGAACAGTCATTCCTCAGAAGTACGCCCGGCCGATTTCTAACCTCAGGCGTCCCTGGGTCTCCGTCCTGCGACTTCCGATAGACGTTGTTGTCTTGTCGGTGTAGTATCGCGTGAGAGATCAAAGCTCTGCGGTAGACCATGGCCGGGACGGCGGTTCTTCTCCGGGGTCTTCCCGATCTGCCGGCCCTGCAGGACGAACTGACGGCGTACTTCGACAGGCGCGGACCGGTCCTGGGAGTGCGACTGCTGGGACCAGGACGGGCCATCGTTACGTTCGCAGAGGAGAGCGGTAAGTCGGGTGATACGCTTCCTCGACAGACTTGAAAAGGTCCCGGTCACGTTTGTCGTACGATCGACGTGCGATTGCAAACTGAGGACATTCCTGCGATAGTCGTGCCGTACAACATAAATCTGTCTTGTTACGGAAAAGGCTGCCTTTAGTCTTGCCCTTTTGCGTCGGTGATTTCTGTACATCAGATGTTCCTGTTCCTGTTGCATATGTCTGTTACATGTCTTCTATATTTTTTTATATATAAACCATTATCCTTTCGCTTACGTGCGGCGCCACTGTGCGCTGTCTTGTTTACATATTGCAAATAAAAACAAGTCATATTATAATATGTCATATAGAACAAGGTTGTAATAACCATCCAGGTTATATAGCGTTTCAATTCAAATAAGGCATGCATAGAAAATACTAGTGTGTACATGGTTTACAATATTCATGGCTAGAAGGTAACTGACAAAGAAATTACACTAGATTCAGGTGACAGACATTATTGTTTTCATGAAGGAAAGAATTAAGGTTGATTGTCCTGTGTTTGTGTCCCCTGAAAACAGTTCCCCTTTAACCTGCGAAAGCAGAACGAGAAGTGAAACCTGGTGAGCTGTTATTCCCATTGTATGCCAACAGTTGACTAGCAAAATGCGTCAAGGTTCTATTCACGCTTGATGACGAAATATTTTGCCTTTCCACAGTGGCACCAGCTGTGACATCTGAGCCGGAGATCCTCTTCTTTGGCGCGAGAGTAAAAATCGAGCCCTGTCCACGTGATCTGGTCACAAACAATGGTGAACATCAACAAGGAGTGACAGAAAATACAACAGGTAAGGAACCGGTCATATTCGTCGCACGATCATACGATCATCGTACGATCACAAACTCGAAGCATTCTCGAGATAGCTGTCCATGTGTCGTACAAAATTCAGCTGACTTGTTTTAGGACGGCCTATTTTAGATCCCTGTCAGTGGTAGTTTCTTTCACAGTCTGAGTCTGATTGAACCTGACCACGTCGTTGACTCTGGGTGTGAATGTATCATGTCTGTGCCACTAGCTTCTGCTTATATTACAGAGCATGACAGTCAAAATGATTCCATAAGAATTGTGTTAACTAAGTAAAACTCTATACTGTATCCTCGTATATTGTTTATCTTCATCAGTTCAAAACTATTCACTACAGAGACGTACAGCGACTATGTCCGGCTCCTTTGATCGGTTCCAAGCATTGTTTTGGGTGGCTGGGTTGTGGGGTTATGTGGCTGTCTGGACAAAATAGGTTGACAGCACGTGGGTGGAGGGATTGGGTAGGCAGAGTGAAAGGAGATCAAATGGTCAGACACAGGAAATGGAATTAACTCAAAAGTAGGTTGACAGCACATGGGTGGTGGAAGATTCAAAGGCAAAATCATTGAAGGCCAAAAGGCCAGGTTCAGGAATCCAAAATACTTTCATGTAGTCTGGAATCTCCGATTGACAAATATATTTTTGCAGCACACGAGGCGAGAATGGGAGAGATGACGTCAGGCGAGGTTGACGTCGGTGAGGGGATGGCGAACTACCTGCAAACCTACCGAGCAGACGACATCGTGCGAGTGGGGAGAAAATTGTCGATGGAGGAAGTGAGAATCAGGAACACCAAAACCGGTTTCTCTATTCGTGGAACTGCGAAAGGCATTAGCCAAGCGAGGGAAGGCCTGGAAGAAATGGCGGCCACGGTCAGGACTGCAGTGCTTACGGTGGAGAATGCTGATCAGCTACGAGGTGAGGATGCTGTTGTAATGTCTTTTCTCAATAAATCCTCTTTCATAATTTTACAGGTCGTTTTTCTACATTGTTAGTTCGATACAGTTCGTATCGCTACATGGCAGAAGTAATTTCACCAAATTTGGATGCTATTTCTTTACACTTTATTTATGTCGAAGGTGCTGATCAAAAATATTTTCCTATGTTTATATTAAAGCTCTCAAATTTCTTGTTCTTTTGTATCTCTACAAGGCTTTCATCGATTTATCGCCAAAGAGAAGACAGCAGGCCAATTGCGTGACATAGAACGTGACCAACAGTGCGTGATCGTTGCTGATGACATGTGTTCGCTCAGTGCGATGGAGGTAAGAGAGTTTATGTACATCCTACTCACCACAGTCACACAACAGTGTTGCCAAAGCTTAAGGGGGAATATTCTCTAATAACCTCCGTAAAACCTGAAATGTTTCACTTCGAACTTTTTATTCCGTTGTTTCGTGGTTTTTGATCAACTATTTGGAATTAAATTTCCCAAAGCCTATTGTCGCTGTATGCAGATAGCGATTCATTCTTGTTTTGAATGACCAATATTGTTGTACCACGGTTTCCCGGCTAGAATGAGGATATCGCAGCCCTTCCGACGCCCCCCTCGTCGTGTGACGAGAACAGCTGTGAGCTGCGCGTTGGCGGGCTCATTATGCAGGCCGTGCGGGGTGATCTCACGACAGAAACTGCCGCAGTCATCGTCGTACCTATCAGCAATATTCTGGGTAAGGAGTAGTAAAAAACTTGCAAATCAGCTTCATGTACAAATGTACACCCTATCAGTTACTCTGACAATAGGCCACTGCCTTCGATACGATGCAAACGGGAGTTGAAAGAAATCTCATACTCTGTTGGCACGTGTGTTGGTAATACCACGTTACGATAGATGATATTTGATAGACAGCATACTGTGATGAATGCTCGATAACATTTCTTTCGTATGACTGAATAACAAGTCCCAGTATTTTGCCAAAAAATATGCTGTTCTCCAACTGAAAGAAATTTGACTCACCGGAATTTCGACCGAGTCTCTCGGTCGTCATCAGCTATCTGACCCAAGTACTGTAGACGTGTGACGTCAGCACTGGGTCAAAGTTCATCGAAAGTCGTTACCGCCCCCCGTCCTGGTTTACGTCCCAGTACTGTTCTCCGTGAATGGGAATGTCTCCTTGAACGGGTTAGGTATGATGTACGTAAGTTATATTTTATTTGATGTAAAAATCAACGATACCGCACATCCAGATCACAGCCGAGGAATAGCAAGAACCGTTTCCGAAGCGGCAGGACCCAGCGTGTTGGAGCAGTGCCGTGAGTACGTCAGGACGGAAGGGCTGCCGCGAGGGGGCGACATTGTGGCTGTAGGTAAGTCAAAGTCCTTACACCTGTGACCACTTGTTGGAGAAGTTGATGGACATCACGAGTATTGTATTGGTATAAAATATCATAAAAGAAATAGGCGTAAATACGACTCCTAGACAACTCGAAATCTTGTATTACCTCCGGGTACATGGTTATTGGTTTGGGTGTACGAGTATATCTCTGTGTATCATAACTGTATACTTGTTCGGCAGACACGGTTGCACTAAGAGTCGGTGGCTAAGTGTATTTGTTTGACGGGGAATTAAGTTAAGCCCAAATGTGACGTCCCAAAAGAATGGGAGTAATTTGGCGGTACATGGAGAAATTCAGGGAGTGTTGACTATGTAATATCTAAATCAAATTACGCCACGTACATTCTTCTGCAGTTCCCGCGCATTCACGGAAATCCGAAACACTTTCCGGATGTCTGAATCTCCAATTTCTTGTTCTGTCGGTAAAAATCATCTCACATATTTGAGTTATCGCCTTTCATGTATTTTCTCCATTTACTTATCTATACAGAAGGTGGACGGTTGCCATGTGGCGTGATTTTGTACCTGACATCTCCGGATGCGAAACACCTCAGGAGTGATGTCAAGAATTGTCTCTGTCTCGCCAGTAACCATGGAGGCAGTTCTGTCGCATTACCGGCCATTGGCACAGGTACGTCAACAATCTATAGCTTCCTTTTGGTCATCTTGTTACACTTAACACGTCTATTCTTGTATAGAATAAAAGAATCTTCCTGTTGGTTTATGGCCCTCTATTTTCATATAGAATGTTACCTACGCCACGTTCTCCACAAACATGTCATGATGCATTTACATAAATGTTCCTTCATTTAATACCAAGAAATAAGAGATTTTAGACTTCCAGTTGGTATTTGAGGGTTCCTCATGCAATCCTGGGTTCGTAATGCAGAGCCATTTCTGTGTCTGACATTTTGACCTGCTGTTATCTGTCTGTCAATCTTCCCCATCCATGTGCTGTTAACCTACGCTGTCTGGACAAGCAGACACGCAAACCCACCTCGCAGCTACCCAATAATTTCCGTAATAAGGAAGTAACAAAATTATGCCATGACGTTTGGGATAATGATAACGTTACAAAGACTCTGTCCACTGTCCAGGAGGATTTGGAATAGCACCAGAGAAGTGCGCCAGACGTATGATCAGGGGGATTGTGGAGTTCGCCCAGCACGTCGGAGGAAACAAGCTGACACTTGTGAAAATTGTTGTACAGCAGGGCAAGATCCTGGAGGCCTTCAGGACGGAGATGTTCAAGAGAAGCAATGGTAAGATGGGTGATACCTATACTTTAAGCAACGTGAGTTTTTGAGCAATCTCCACTGTTCCGATACTTTCCTGAAAAACCCTAACATTTCCTAGATGTCTGTCTACTAGGATGTATTATTATCTTGTTTCGTCTCCACTGTAAGTGAGACCTTCGGAAGGTTCGGCCATTGTTGGCTCGTGGTTGGCTAGTGTTCGGGAGTGGGTAAGCAGTGTTCGGGGCGTGTTCGGGACTGAAATTTAATTGACTCAAATTTAACTCAAATTGGATTCAATTCCTATACAGAAAGGTAGGCATGGCCTAAATCTGGCCAGACTGCTCCCGAACTTCAGCCAACCTTGGTTTCTTGGTGGTCGGGGGAAGGTTTTGAATGTATGACTTTACATCCTCCCCCAGCATATGACGCAACTCTGGATCGGCTGATAGACGGGCACCCGGCAGACGAACTGCTACTACACTTCTTCGGCCCTGACGAGACCAGTGTAGAAGAGGCCAAAAGGAGGGTTCAGGAGATGGTGGATAACTACTCCACTCATGAGATCATCGTTGATCCTGCAGTACTGCAACTGTCGGCCGCAGAGAGGAGGATGCTTCAAGTCTACAGTCGTAGACAGAAAGTCACGATCACGATAGGTAATTTACAGATTTCTTTTTGTGTTCTTTGACTCTTTTGTGTTCTTGAAGTAATACAGATTAAGAGACATTCGGGTATGTTGTATTCTTTTTCAATTACAATAGTTTATTTTTTTCTTTGGGTTTGTAAAACTTAATATGTATGTTTGTCAGGGCAGAGTAGGTTGACAGCACGTGGGTGGGACATACAACATCCGTCATTTCTTCGAAATCCAGAGATTTGAAATCTCCGATTTCTTCTTGTTTCTCTTTATGACGACAGATGAAGACAACGATGGCTGTTATCATATCGAAGGGTCCTGTGATGTATCCGCGGAGGCCTCTGTCGTGCGGATGTTTCTCGCCGACAGAAGTGAGAACAGGACAGCACGGAGAGACATCCTGGGACTGCGCCGCTATCAGTGGTGAGAAGAGTATTACATAATTAACTACACAAAAAGGTTATGAGAAATCACATTCATGATGATTGCTTCTGGGTATTGTATTGTTTTTGGGTGGCCGAGTTTTGGTTTTGTTTCCCTCGGTTGCATCGTGGGTAGGAGGTAATCTTGACTGTTGATTTTTATGGAGGTCACGCCTGACGATGACCCAGCACACGGTAGCTATAAGTGGGAGCAAGTGGGCGGTATGTGGAGGAATTCAGGAAGTAGTATAATCCCCGAATAAGTTATACCATGCAATTCCCTCTACAGTTTACATTCACGAAAACCCCAAACACTTCCCGGAGGTATGTGAACTGGAAGGTCACAAAATCAGTTCATCTGGTGGGTATTGCTTTACATATACACTCTACTCAATTTTGTTTCTGATATTCTCTACCCAAGGTACTACGTTCTACCCAGCGGTGAATGTCGACCCTTTGACACAGACAATAACGACCGTACAGAGGAGATCTACCAGGCGGATCAGCAAACGGCGTACTGCATCACCGGTGGGGAGCTGTGTGTGGTGGACATCCACGGCCTGACACTGACTGTGCTGTCATCGGGAACAACCTACGACATCGTCAGGGAGGATTTGACTTCCGATGGAGGTGCGGTGTCTTGGTAGAGAAGCATAACTCTTATAACGCTACCTACTAGCTTGGCTATTTAGATGACTGTGTGAGTTTCACTGTATCGGCTACCTTATGTACTATTATTCGCCACTTTTGTGACACATTTTGTAGGTAGATCCTTTTGCTCCTGTCTTAGCAATTTGCATCACTTCAACAGTCAAAAACAAACAGTATCAGAACAACGTTCACATACAGAACACTGTATGGAACACTGAGTACCACACGAGTTACAAACAATGTAATCACACAGAATTGCTAGCAAGGACTACTAAAGTACATGAGGGACATGAAAAACTTAAGCACTTACGATTTACACGTAAGTCTCGTTATTGCATGTAATGTAATCTTATGTAATTGTACGTTGATGTATTCCTAAGTCAATATTATACACTGGTACCCTCTCCTGGACGGATAGCGTTCACTCATGGGTAGGCAGCTATAATGAGAGGTAAACCACAATAAACCACAGCACTCTTTTCTTGCCTATTCAGTTGGATCAGTACCAGAAACATGGGACCCTCAGCCTCACGACCGGAACACCAACAGGCCTAAAGTGTGTCACATGGTGAAGCTGAACCCTGGCTCTCCAGAGTACAGCCAGGTTCGGAGCAAGTTCCGGTCCAGCTGTGGTTCTGTTAGGATCCTCTCTATCGAGAGAGTGCAGGCCCCGGCACTGTGGGAACAGTTCTCGGTGAAGAAGAGGAACATGTTATCTCGGAACTCAACCACGTATGTATCAAATTCTATCTTGTATCTTATATATCTGTATGGTCCTTCCTGGCTTCTAACCCTATTTCCATATTAGGGGATGTATTTACATGTGGATGATAGGTCCAAAGGGAGAGGAATTTGGATACACCGTATTTCCCGGAGAGCATATTTGATGATCATATTTCGGAGTTTTTTTATGAACCAAGGAGATTGTAGCTGCATGGGCAGACTCACGTCTTTCTGGCCCGAGGGGAGATCATTTAGACTGCCAACTTGACCTTAAGGTCAATCTGCGTTTACAAAATTTCCCCTCCCTTTTCCTGCCATATTACCGCATTCAAACATCTACACACAAGGAAATACACGCATAGACAAAAAAAAAACCCAAAACCTCCGTAAACAGAGGTAAATAGGGCTGTATATGATTGAAGTTACCATGTTTTACATCGTAATGAGAGTGTGGTATTTCAAGTTTAAACGATGTGTATGAAGAAATTAAATGACGACATCATTTTCCAGACCCATCGAGAAGGAGCTCTGGCACGGCACCAACGCAGAGGCATGCCGGGAAATCAACCTCAACGGCTTCAACAGACGCTACAGCGGGCAGCACGGTATGGGAACATCTCAACACTTCAAGATGACTAAGAAATCATCGTTTGAATGAAAGAACTGACGAAACTTTGTTTTAGGAATGTCATCTTATATTAGCTATAACGTTACTGCATAGTGTATTCATGCAGGCACTATCATGGGTACATACACTGAAATCTCTGAGAGATTTCAATACCCTGAGACTTCAGTGCATGTACATGTACGTAGCTATAGGTGATAAAACACTACCGTTGATGCTGCATGGTGCACACTAGATTTATTTTACCGATTTCAGCACTATAAACATTTACATAACAGTACTAGTACTTCAATGTTTCACAATTCTGTCCTTGCGGTTTCCGTGACACTCCTGCATGCTTCTTTGTTCCATCCAGGGACAGCGTACGGGAAGGGGACGTACTTCGCGGTGAACGCGTCCTACTCCGCGCACGACAGGTACTCCAGCCCGGACTCACAGGGACGGAAAAAAATGTACCTGGCGAAAGTACTGACGGGAGAATGCACCAGGGGCACCCGGAACATGCCAGTTCCGCCGCGCAGGCAGGACTCCAGCGGACTGCTTTACGACTCCACCGTGGATGCCACGAACAAGCCGACAACATTTGTCGTCTTTCATGACGCACAGGCTTACCCGCAGTATCTCATAACGTTTACGAAGTAAAACGGATTGGTTCAGCTCTTGATCGGTTCAGATGCGACGTTAAGGTCAATTCAAACCCAGGAAGCATTTAATTTACTGGTCCAAAGGCATGAACTCGTAGACGAAACAATTCTGCCTGTATTGTACAATAGCAAAATCCAGACTGATTCATAAGTGGCCTTGTGTGCCCATGTTCATGTTCCGTCTATCTACTTGTGTCATTGCTGTGTATTATATATTGTCTACTTGAAGATTTGTAAAATCAGTGCAATTCAGAAGGTTACCATCATGGACATTCGGCAAAGTTGATTGAATGAATGAATAAAGTTGAAAATTGAAATTGTCTCGTTCATATGTTAAAGTTCAGTTGACTTTATGTACTTTTATGTTGACTTTATGTACTTTTGACTTTTATGTACCAATTATGTTATGTACAACGTTGTAATGAGTCCTTTATCTCATGTCTTTAGTTTGACCTTTGATTTGGACTTGGATTTATGTTTCTATGATTTCTGTACGTATGTTTATGTTCCGGTGTCTTATAAGCCCATATGACACGAAAATATTCATTCATTCATTCATTCATTTATTGAAGTTTGGGACAGAGAGTAAAAGATGCCCGGGCATTATTTTGTAGTCAATAAATAGACTTTCCTGTGCAGTTTTGCAAACCTTGGTCGTAGATCCCCGGCATTATGATTTGACTGTGGTAGAATCCACGACACATTGTATGTTACCTGGAACAAAAGAGGAACCTTGTGGTACATGCTGAAATAGACTATGTCTCGTAATTTCCATATCCGTGTCCTGCCAAGAAAACTGGAATTTTAATGCTGGGAGACAAATAAACATCGTTTCAATACATCATGGCGAGTCGATGCTTTCTCGCTTTCTTTCGCATTCCCTTTATAAAACAACATTCCGTATCGTCATAGTTGCACTTCCCTTTTTCTACTTCTTGTTCTGCTTCCCACATTCTCCGGGACTCATGCCGTCATTTAGTTCCTCTTTCTTACTGGGGTATCTAAGAGGCCAATCCCCGAACCATGACCATGCATTGATGGAAACGGGAAGCTACTCAAGTTGTGTAATTTTACAGTTTAGCCACAACCTCACTCTATTGCTGATTTTTCAACCATTTCAAATCTTGTTTCATTTTGCTTCACAGAAATTTCTTTCGTGGCCAATCATTTGTATTTAGTAGTTTACGGCGTGGTCACATTCGTGTTTTAATATCGTGGGATTTTCAAGCCGGCTGTGACAGAAACAACCACTGAAACAGCCTTTTTCGTACGAAGACAGTTTAATTTTGTGCGACACATGCATGAGCATCCCAAGAATGGCATTTAGTTTGCGATCGTGCGACAATCGCTCGACGAGGTGACCGGCCCCTTGGCTGCAAAAATATGTGTTTGATGAACCCGGCTTTGAGGAAGTCCGTTTACCTATATTTGGACTGACCTTTGTCTGTTTGTTTAAGAGGTACTTTGCTCCCTGAGGCTCTATGAACGCTACCGGCACACAGGAACATGTCTGCCCGTGAGGTTTTCGTACGCGGGCTCCCTGAGCTGCCGTCTCTACAGGACTTTATCGTCCAGTATTTCCAAAACGAGTCGTGTGGCGGACCTGTCAGTCATGTGAGTCTACTGGGGCCCGGACAGGCTGTGGTGACCTTTGTGAATGAGTCAGGTAAGACTTCCGTATGAGTCGACCACGTCGCCCGGCTGTTTGCTTATGCCGAATGCTAGCCTCCACCATCGAACAACACAGTACCTTCGACGTAAATTATCTTACGTTTTTGCCTCCCCAAAGCATATATGGGGCGCCAGTAATGTTTACGTGAAACCAATAATTTTTCTAAGACTAAAAGAGACGAATATTCATAAGCTTACCAACGCTTGTACATATATCATAGATAGCTTGTATAATAAGTCTCGTTTCCTTTGTTTGTATGTCGGATAAATGTCACTTCCTTTTCTTGGTTGCGTTATACAGTATGATGTAAAAGAGGAAGTCGAAGACAAAGCTCAACACGCAATTGGGGATTTCATACCTCCGTGAACTACCTACAGTTTTTTAAGTTCTTGCTTTATTCATTATTGTGTGCATCTCCCACTGTTGCGCATATGTATTCTTCGAGTTCCTGAGTTCCACCACCATACCATTCACTTCCTCCTCCAATTTGACCTCACTTCCTCCCAGCCTGTGGGGTGACATTTTGACTTCTAATTTGACCTTTTCAGTTAAACTTCATGTGACCCTACTGCATTCATATAACTACAGACATACAAAAACTTTCAAACACGAACAAACATGTATACACCAAAACAAAACCTCTGGCTCTGTATACGGTGGCAAAAAGGAAATCGCTGGCCTCAAAATTTAATATCAGCTCATGCTTTGTGTATGTAGTATTGTCTCAGAATCCCAATAGTCATTTTTACACTTTTACGACCACAGTGGCCCAGAACGTGTTGGCCCACCCTCAGCACCTGTTCCACGGCTCCAGATTACAAGTTGGGCCGTGGTCACGTCACCTCTCTGACGATGAAATTGAGGAGGACGAAGGGGGTTTAGTACAAACAGGTCAGTAAGGATATGTCTTCTCGTGTGGCATACAGTACTGAATACAACGAAACTTTGTTAGAATCCTATTCTAGACGTATTCATTTATGTCCATAGATCGTGTCGGCAGACTAGATATTTCACCTGATTTTACCGTCTGTCTGAGAGTATGTCTACAATGCATATTTGCCATTTCCTCAGGGGATATCGAATTGGATGTTCTAAAAAAAACAGCCATGGCAATATCTTATCTTTTTAATTTTTTGTTTAGATGACGTTTCGGAGAACCTCGTACCCGGTGGACAGGCAGACGCAGACCAATATGGAGACTTAAAGCAAGCGGTCGCCACCAACAGCGTAGTCATACGAGTCGCGTCGACCCGCTCACGTCATGGCGACGACCGGTTACCGCGGTCATCGGGTTTGGTGGGGGCTGTTAGCCGTCCAAAGGCGGCGAAACCAGCAACACAACAGCGGGAAAGCAGCCTTCCACCCACCGAGACGACCGTTATGAGAGTAGACATTGTTGAAGGGTGTGCCAAGTTACTGCTACAGTACCATGGTGATGTCATGCGGGAAGTTGAACAGTCCTTCTCCGTGAGAGTCAAGCCAGACAGCGCAGGGTTCTCTGTCAGCGGAACCAGCGAAGGTGTGAGTGAAGCGAAGGTCTTCTTGGAGAATGTAGCAGCGTCCGTAAAGACTGATGTGCTGCAGAGTTTCAAGCCAGGTTAGTAATTGATAGATTTACTAAATACCTGCTCTATATTTTGTTTTACAATTATACCTCCAGCTATTAACATCATTTGTCTACATTGTATCAAGTAGCAAACATTTCTGATCTGGAGGTAAGTTTGAAAAAATCGAGAATATAGCCATTTTAAAACCATCGCAAAATATTTTTTTTTTATTTCCTGGTTTGAAAATGAAGTTTCTTGCAACGTTAACGTTCTTGCCCTTTAGGAGCTGTCACTGTCATCGCTGATAATGGTTTAAAGAGCAAATAGAAATCATAGATATTGGGCCACTTTTAGTTCAAAAATACCTCCAGGCTGAACAATTTGACCAGTAGAATTTCAGTACCGTTAATTATACCGTGCACGATGTATGCGGACAGAACGGGTAACCTGTGGGCTACGTTTAAGAGTGCGTAGTGTGACTCGTTGTCTGATAGCGTGTTATTGTGATTATGATTTCAGCACCAAGGACAGGTACACAGCACAAGCGGCTACCGCCATATTAGCCTGTATGGATGGCTTTCAACAGCATTTATGCATCTCTTTGTGTATCTATATAGAATAGGTATCAATTGTGGTACTATCATCATAGAAACAATTAGAATTAAAATTACAGCAGGCCAGTGCTGATCGTAACTTTAGTACATATCGAGAGAGCTCTTTTTTCTCCAACAAAACATCCAGGGATATACGAATACCTGGCGGAGGGGGAAGGCCGTGATGTGTTACAGTCTGTAGAACAGGACTTCCGGTGTGTCATCCTTGTGGAGAGTGTGTCTGGGAACGAGTCATCGGATGGAAGTGTAGGCGAATCAGCGGCTTCGGATGTAGAGGTACGGTGTAGCTGGGGGTATGATCTTTTCCAGATTTGTCTTAGTGAACCAGCTATATATCTTTAAAAACAACTTTGAAGCAGCCCATCCATTGGTCAGGCTACTAGAAGCCCGACAGCCAACATCTCTAGTCTAAATCAGAAGAATTGAGAACATTTTAATCCTGTTGATTTATGCATATGTGCTAACATGGACAAGTTATTGCCAGACTGATCATAATGCTGGAGGCTGTGGTGACTGGTTTTCATAGTGACAAAATCCTGAGCTTCTATTGGACTGATTTTCATGCTGATAAAGAACTCTGAGCTCCTATTGGTAGTTCTGGGATTGGATTTTGTTCTATCAAGAAGGACACCATATAGGCCCCTGACAGATAGAGATTGTATAACACATGCTAATTATATCTTGTATCAGGCCTCAGGTCACACGGTTCCTGTGATGTACTCTTGTACATCTCAGCCCGGTCAGACTGAACTTCACATTCGTGACGTCATAGTACAAGTTCAGATGGGAGACATCACCATGGAGCAAGTTGGTGCCATCGTCAACCCTTCACAAAATAATCTAGGTAGGTCCTATCAAATCAGCCAAGGGATTGTAATTTTTTCCGTGATTAATTTCAGACTAGGACGTATTGTTTCGGGTGGCTAGACTGAATCTGTCCGATAGCCAACGGGAATAGGAGGTCGACATGGAGGGACTTCATGAAGCCGAGGATTGCATACTTGGAAGTCTGAAATCTCCAATTTCCTGTTTATGATAGGGACAACTTATTCCAAGTTGGAATGGATATGTTGTTTGGCACTAGGCCATTGTTTGTATTTATAAGGAACCTGTGAAAATGGAAATCAATGCCTTTACATCACACTGTAAAAAAAACTTTGTCGTAAAACTAAACCTACATGTACTATTTTGTACCGTAACAGACATGGACAAGGGTGTAAGCAGGGCCATATCGATGGCAGCCGGCCCCGGTGTCCAGAGGGAGTGTAGACAGTACATCAGGGACAACTGGTCTCCCAAGGCAGGCGATGTTGTCGCAACAGGTTCGTAATGGAAAAAAGCAAATTTATGACGGGCGTCCAGCTACTCTGCCATTGGACGAACCGTCAATTGCCGTGCTATCATTGGTTGAACTGCTAATTGTGACAGGATCGGTGTTGATGATTCCACAGGTGCTGGCGACCTGCCGTGTGGAAAGGTTATCCATCTGGTGCAGCCCTCGGCCAAGTATCTGCGGTCGGACATTAAGAACTGCCTGCTAGTTGCTCACCAGATGAACCTTCGCTCAATCACCTTTCCTGCGGTGGGAACAGGTAAGAACAGCTGACTCCCATTTTTTTCCATAAAACGACAAACAACAGAACACGGCTTCAAAGTCTTTAGTGGTATAAGTTGGTCTGTTCAAGGTTTAGAGATACTATTTTGGTTCAACAGTCAGATACACTTAAATAATGACGATTTAAAACGCTGTCTGCCCTTGGAATTGACTATCCTGGAAGACCCATGATCTCACTGAACGGGGCCGTCTGTTTTCTAAGAACATTGTCTTGAGAGATCGTTCATGTTTGAGATGCACTATATGAGTTGAAAATCTAAAACCCTATTGCCTTCGTCGGCCTCCTATACAGGAGGCTTCCACATCAAGCCCGAGCGGTCGGCGCGGTGCATGATGGACGGTATCGCGGAGTTTGTGGAGGACTGGAGCCCCACCACCCTGTCAATCATCAGGATTGTCATCTTCCAGGAGCGCATGTTACAAACCTTCCACACGGCCGTCCACGGGAAGGCATCGGAGGACAGGGGGAAAGTCACCCCGTCGAAACACGCAAACCGTCTCAACAGGCTAAAAAGTAAGTATCTGTTACATAGTGTGCTGCGATTTATGAGATTCAATGCGTTATGAACATTTTATATTAGGTTATGTCGTCACTTATATCACATGAAGGCATTCTGCTCGGTTACTTACGAGCCTTTTAGATCTATCGTTATTGTACTCCCGCGCGTACTTCTGCTCTGTTCGTTCTGAGTTTTGGAGAATCAATAGTGAATAGACGCTGTTCTACTGTACATATGCATGTCTGAGTCACCTCCTAGTAAGGGGGTCAAAAACAGGTTGAGTAGCATCATCTTTGACGATTAATGGTTCGGATTTAAACCCCTAAAAACCGGTTGAGTTGCGTTCATACTAGTCCACGTAAATCGTTCATGTAACCTACATTTTCTGATGTGATTACAAAATTCCAATATTAATATTTCCTGACAAACAGACATTGCCGCAGACAAGATGAAGCGTATGCGAAGGCGTCCAAAGGAGGAAACACTCTCCTCCACATCATTGCGTCTCCCGAGGCCAGACTCGCCTGGCAAGTTTGAAGACGCTCTGCAGCCAGACGAAGTCCTGCTTCACATCTTCTGCCTCGATGAGACAAAGTTACAGAACGCCCGAGAAACCGTGGAGGGATTTCTGCAGCAGTATACAACTGTTGTGGTGATCAACGACGACAGGGAGACGGGAATTTCTCAACTCGTCAAGGAGGAGATCAAATGGCTTCGGTTTCTGGGACGTGAAGAAAACGTGTCCATCTCAGTCGGTGAGTTTTTATATTAAAACTTGTGTTTATCCCCCATCATTTCTGCGAGGAGTACTTGGTCGTCTTCAGGGAATTATGGGCACTTGTTTACGTTGGGGACGAATGATCTGTTATTGGCATTGATCAATAAAAAGAAAGATAGGGAGAGAAAGATAATATTTCTGAACATTATAGCAGCATCATTTGAGGGCGCGGTCACATTCGTCGTGCAATCGTCATTCATTCTTGTACCATTCTTTCATTTTTGAGATAGTCTTGCATGTGGTCTTACGAAATTCAACTTTCTTGTATTCGAAAAGGCTGTCTTTATTAATAGATCCTTGTCGGCCGTCGGTTCTGTCACAACCTGCTTGAAAATACTGCTTGCGGCGTCAAGATCTTACGGCGCTCTTACCTATTTGACGCCGGTGAGAGTTTTTTATAGGAAAATCACAACAGTATCCATGCGTTATTATCTATAACAACAATTTCGATGTATTCAGAACAGGAAAACTGTATCCGTATCGAGGGAAGTCGGAACGTGACGGCTATTGCTGCTAAAGTTCGCCTGATCCTGAAGACCATCGTGGAGAAACGCGGTCGGTTTGCAAGAATGATGTCATCAGAGAACTACCAGTGGTAAGTACCATGCCTTATGTATTCTACACGAGGTCTAACAAGACATTGGGGATGTCATACCTAGCTCCGTAAAATGTTAATTTTCTTTTGTGTTTCGCGTTGCATTCATTATAGTAAATTTTTCGGCCCAACTAGCACCCGTACAAAAGACAGCACGTTGTTGGAATAGCGATTTACTTAGACAACTTTATTGGTGTACCGTGGTTGGTGGTACATGTATACAGGCTTAATGTCTATTCTTTCCTGCTATTATTTTATGTACAGGTACTATGAGCTACCAGATGAACCCTGTCGTCCTTTTGAAACAACGTCCAACGGTCGGGTAGAAACAGCCTTTCAGGCAAAAGCCGCAAAGTGTTTCTGTGTGGAGGACAGTAGGCCGTTTGTTGTTGACTTCTCTGCCATGACGCTGACCGTGCAAACATCTACAGCTGTTGGCAAGGTCCGCAGAGAAGACTTGGCTATCTATTCAGGTATGAATAATCATCACCTTTTTGTCACTTGTGAAAACTTAACATAGCAAATAACGCCTCCTGGCGTAATGTTGATACGGCTTTTTACTTTTGTCTTTTTTTCTTTTGTATTTTTAAAACCATGTGTTTCATATTTCAATAATACTTGGACATCTCAGTCGAAACATTATCCCGTCATGATGTATCTTAGCAGGTTATAGTTGATGTATCAAATAATTCCATGTAGCTGTAGGCAAGTAAGCATAGCGCTCCTAACGTTAACGTACAGCGCCGAACGGGTATACTTTTAATGTCTTCGGTTAGGCACCAACTTGCCTGGCAGATGGGACCCTCAACCGAAGGACCCTAGGACGGGTAAGCCTAAGCTCTGCCATATCGTGAAGCTGGATCCGCTCTCAACAGAATTCTTCACCGTCCAAGAGCGGTTCTTCTCCAGCCTGGGCGACACGAGAGCGATCGTCCTGCGGGTAGAACGGGTACAGAACCGGCTGCTGTGGAGGGAGTACTGCGTGCAGAAGGACACGACAAACGGCAACAGGTACATGACATTGTGCAACTTCCTGAATTATCATGAAAGTTAATCTTGTGTTGGTAGTTATCACAGTAAAACGTTGAACTTTATTCCAACACACACATTATACAGAGATCAAACTGTCGCCTTCATCCACCAGGATAATTAATGACCAATCACTTCACAACGTGATCTCGTGAGAGTTACGGTTACAAACACGTGACCGTATTCACACGAGACTTTACTGATACGTATTAATAGTTCCCAAATGCCTCGTTTTTTGTAAAGAAAACCTAGCTACATCAGACAAAATCCTTGTATAGATTTAATCATTTTGCACTGAATTTTGTGTAACGTTGACTTGAACTTGTACTTTAAAATCGGACTTGCTGTTACAGGATGGAGGAGACAGATCTGTGGCACGGTACCTCAGCTGAAGCCTGTCAGATGATTGCCCTTCATGGGTTCAACGGTCACGTCACTCAGCACTACGGTAAGTTGGTTTTTAAATACTAGTATCAATGACACTACAAACTAGTACTATATCTCCACTACCTTATACCTTCGCCAAATGTTTATTTGTATTGTCGCCTAGGCTGGGGCCACATGATTACTAACTGTGCAGACGCATATTCTGGCTACTACCACGTGGTGCGGATGTTTTACTCCATATAAACAAGAAATACACTTTTCTCATCTCGTTGCAGACGGAGGGACTATCTTTTCCCGTAATGCAGCATACGTCACAAAGAACATCTGCACCCCTGACTACTGTGGTCGTAAAAGTATCATTCTGGCCAAAGTTCGTATGGAAGAGCGAGTTGGTACAAGTAGAACCGCGAAGCGAGAATCTTTTCATTTGGACGAGGGGAATCCACAATGTCACGAATCCATCGACAAAGTCAACCCGGGCCTTTATGTAGCGTGCAACGGAGCGGAGGCGTATCCAGAGTACCTTATTTCGTTCAAAGTGCGATGAAAAATCCTGTCTGTGTGTAATTGATAAATGTAACGTTATATGTAATCTGAACTAACTTGTATCGCCATCCTATCTAGTCATTACGTCGGAAGATAATGATATCCATGGCATTATGTAAACTTAACACTGTAAAACACGAATTCGGAGATTTCAGACTTCAGAAAAGTATTTTCGATTGCGACTTTCATCAAGTTCTTCCTGTTGTCAGGGTCTGATCTTTTCCTCCCACCTACCATGTGCTGTCAACCTCCTCTGTCCTCCTCCAACCCCCTAGCTCAGTCACCCAAAACAATACTTCCGGAAGTAATGCGCAATACCCAGGCATGATTCTTGGCTTCCGTTTATTCATCTGCAATGCTATAATTACAATTCTATTTTTCATACTTCAAAGTTAATTTTCAAGTTTCACAATTGTTATTTGAAATTCGTTGTGCCTGTTCGTAAATCAAATACTCAAAATGCTAACGATATAGTTTTTAAACTTGGATTGTTAAGAATCTATATTCTGTACGAGTTCATCAATACAACAACAGAAGATTACTGCACACTGTATTGGAAATAATTACCAACTTAGAATGTACTTATTATGCAGAAATTAACATTCATTAGTCATTTATTTATTAGGCTAGAATAGTAGAAACAAATAACATATGCTTATATTTTGTTGTACATTTCTGGTTGGATATGGGGTCTATGATGAAAGAAACTATCCTTACAGTAATTTGTCGAGCGCTCGTGTTCTTTATCTTGTTCTTTGATCTTATACTACTGAGCAACACTCCTCAGCTGGGGTCTAGCGCGTCTACCGTGTCTCTGGTCTTACTTGATGCCTTTAGCTGCGAGTTCCTGCCTCAGTCTGTTCAGGTAGCCTGGGTCCGGATAGCCGTAACTGGAAAAGTACACAGACATAGGTCAATTGCATACCAATTTACCAACTTTACTAATGCTCTGGCTACTCCGAGAACCCATTTCTTCCTTCCCAAGTTCATTAGCCAGGGGGCTATCAGCTGAAACAATAGGTGATATAAGAAGTACATGTAAATCAATGTAACTGTATGAATAAGAGACAGATGTATACATGAAAATAGGAAAGGAGAAAGAAACATACTCAGAGGCTCCTGCGTAGGGGTTGGTTTTGTGGTGAATGTCGTTCCAGACCACCGTGTCTGTAGCGCCGGTTGTGACGGAGGTTCCAATGGTGAAGACCAGGCGTTTGTCAAAGGCCTTCTTCAGGAGCTGGACCAGCTCCCTTCCCTCGTCGTTGTTGGGTAGATAGGCACGTCTGGAGGTACCGCTGAAGGGACGACCGGGGCTTGTGTGCTCAGGCTGCATGAAACGACATGAAGCACACGTGTGAGATGAAAATCCGAGTCTTTGGCAAATAGCGATAGTGATAGAATACACAGAGTAGACTAGACCCGTTTTCTGTGGACATAAATTATTGCAATTTTCTGTCCAATGTGTATTCATTCCTGGAACATTAGTCCTTCCAAAAAAAGATGAAGAGAACGTGCGGGGTAACTTACCCCTTGTATTCCATCCGGGAAGTCGTAGCTGATCACGATGGCGCTGAAGTTCTCGTACCCAGGAAGCCGTGTTCCATGGCTTGTGCACCACTCCATGCGTCCTGGAGGCTGGTTTCCTATCAGCTCGCCGACAATGGCGTTGCAGATGGGGCACTGGGACTTGTAGGACAGAGCTGTATCTATGCACTCTCTACAGAACGTGTGTTTACATGGGAGAGACTTGGGATCAGTAATGCCTGACATGCATATGGAACAATCAGCTCCATCTGATGTCATACCTTTCCCTGTGTCTCCCGGAGCTGTGAGGGACTTACGTGACGTTGTCCGAGCCGATGAATATTGGTCGGACGGGGGTTGGATGACATCTCCAGGCGGCGCTGCTGCGTCTGTCGTGGTTGGTGAGAGCTCCTTGCCAAAGGTGTCAGCAAGTACCTTAACTGTTGCCTGGTCCATGTCGATGAAGAGGATTTTTCTTAGCGTGCAGGAATGAGACGCCCTCTGGAGGAACTGTTGTAGGCCGGAGAGTAGGGATTCTGCACACCTGTCCTTTGGCATGCCAAAGATTCCTACAGGAAGGAATGTTGAAATGATGGATTTAAGTGTTATACAATTAGTACCCATCATGAGTAATGCTTTATGCTGTTAAGTGAACAAGATTCAGTGTTGCACGCTCACACGCACATATTCAAGTAATATAGCAATATTGTCATCATTCACTTCAGTTGGCTGCCATGAATGTTATGAGTGTGAAATTTATTTGCTCACCTGAACTTATGGCCGGAATAGCCACCGATTCTGCCTGAAGCGTTACCGAAGCTTTGGTGAGGACGTTGCAGCATGTCTGCCGTAGTTCACGTTCATTTGCTCCCTCGTAGCCCGGGGTCCATCTCGGCCCCACGGCATGAATGATGTGTTTACAGGGTAGCTGTCCTCCCCCAGTCACTGCCGTCCCTGTCACCCATAGAGGCCCGTGTTTTTTGACATAGGCATTGCTCTCCTTCTGGATAGACGGGCCGCCTGCCTTGGAGATCGCTCCGGCTACACCGCTCCCGTGACTGAGGGACTCGTTTGCGGCGTTCGCGATGACATCTACCCGCTGTTTTGTGATGTCTCCTTGGGCGACTACAATCTGTATCCCCTCCCTTGTGGTGTGGTTAAACCATTCTGTAGTTGACGAGCTCCCAGTCCCAGTCTGGCCAAACTTGTCGGGCTGTCCTGTTGTCCCAGTCGCACCCCTCCTCCTTCGACCTCGTGCGGTTGATATGCCGAGATGTTCACACATCGCCGTCTTCGCCTCCTGGACCTCCTTCTCTGTCCCGTAAAACATCACGTCTTTCTCCGGACAAGGCTTCAGCATCACTCGGGGGAAGTCTTCCTTGATCTTCGCGACTGCCGTGGAGACTTGATCTGGTGGGATGTGCCTGGACTGTAGCTCAAACGGCTTGCACACAATACTGTGGTGAATTTTCTGGTAGAGGGTGGTGAACTCTTCTTTAGCATTCTCTGGATCGCTGTCGGCTGCATGGCTTCCAAAGAACTCCACTTCTGTTTGTCCGTCGACATCGTTCATGACGATCACTGCTTTGTTCTTCAGCATGATCTTTAACACTTCCGAGCCGTTAACTTGGCACAGGTAAGACTTGATATCCGGAACTATGACGATCTTGGATGGATCGATGTCGTCATGGCTTGTCTGTGTTTTGCGATTCACTGTCTTGTAACCGTGGCTTGTTGTGGATGCGCCTAGACCACCATCCGGGCCGTCATGAATTTGTGTAGGCTGGCCCGGTGTTCTACGTTTCCTGTCTGAGTGTCTTTGAGGCTGGGTTGTTCCTGGATGGTGTGTGTCCGGACCATCGGCTTCGTCTGGCGGGCCTGGTTGCTCCCTCCCGTGTTGATGCGTAACGTGGGGGCGCTTTTTCGGACGTACTGCAGTTGCCAGCCCGCTTCCTGGTTGTTGGGTTGCGGTGATCGCTGGTACCGGTGTGTCGGGGGTACCGCGCCCCCTACCTTGTCCTGTCCCTGCGCTTGAGGTGTCCACATCTTTCGAGCCAGACCCACCATGGGCATCGGTTCCAGGGATTATGCCTTGAGCACTCCAAACCTCTATCTGCAATAGGCTGCGGACTCTTGTTACCTCGCTCCAGTTGCCGACTACCTCCACTACTTCGTTTCTTCCCTCTTCGCCTTTCTTAAATACTATGCCGTCTATTCCCCTTTTTACTGTATTTTTCCACGACTTGGTGATGTAGCGAGATTTCTCCGGCCTAACAAATGCACGGACGCTGCCGAAAACCTGCAAAGTTGTACACATAGGTACATCCATATAAATACGCTGATGTACATGTCAACATAGTGCAACTTTGAAAAATTCCATTCGAGGAAATGAGCAGCACAGCCTTCTACTTAGCAAGCTTACTAGTTCGATAAATTACTGTCGGCTACCAAGAAACCGTGTACAAACAGACATACAATGAGAAAAGAAGCGCCCCCTCAAAAACAGAAACAACTCGTAAGTCTGCTACACAACCCCACAAAACCCCACCCACCCCCATGGTAGTAGATGATCTTGACTCCGTCCGGGCGCTTACCTGCACGAGTTCATGGGAGTCCTTCTGTTGTTCTGGGTCACCTGAGCGTTTGACGGTATCATCAGGCTTGGGCCGCCACTTCTGCACTTCAACCTTTTTGCCCAAAACGTATTGCTCTCTCTCAAGCACACCCTGGACGACTGTTTAGAAAGAAAGAAAGATAATATTAAAGCCTTTATTATATGATATAAAACTATAATACAATTAACGTAACATACTTCAATATCATTTGCAGGTACTTTATAATACTGCAATTACTGTTTTACTGCTCCCAGTTCATTAATTATGGGTTCACCACACCACGAAGTGGTGAGGTGAAACCATATTGCTTTTTCTGGTGTTTCTTCTCCTTCTCCTTCTTCTTCTCCTGCCATTTTTTAAATGGATTCAGCTTCTTCATTTTAGGGCCTAAGGTCCTGAAATTTGGTATGGAGGTACAGTGGGCAAATACCCCTAGGCGTTTTTTAAATTTTTGTGATACAGGCTTTTAGAATGGTTTTATTTGAGTATTTTGGCTGTGTTATAGCAAATGTATTACTGAGTTAGTGTGCAGTGTTACCACATTTGGGCATGACTCATCACAATGGAATGCAGGGCATCAACCAATAGGCATGCAGCTTTCCTCTATTCTCCTTGCTGATTGGCTGTTGGAATTTAACAGGCTTAACTTAATTAATACCTGCTCAGATCCATTCCATACTGACAGTATGTCTGTATTCAAGTGTTTTGGTAGGTATTTCAAGCTTTCCTGCTCCAGCATTGGAATGCGGGGCATGAACACTTCTTTTTTTCTTGAAAATCAACAGTTTGCATTATGCAATTAAAAATCCTAACCAATAATGTAGGGAATAGCTATCCAACTGTTGTAGTCTTAGTTGTATGTTACTTCATACTATAGTTATATCAATGTAAAGCATTGTTTTCCCTTGTGTTTCTCATTCTTTCCCTGCCATGTCGTAAAATGTGGTGAAGCCATTGCTGTATTTGCTCCAAAGCAAATGTCGGCCTTTCTAGTTGAACTACGTATTGTGTAACGATAACTCAACTGCAAACTAGCAATCGTACATTTCAGACTTCCGGGAAGTATTCTGGATTTTTGTAACCTTCAAGTTCACTTCCATTTCCCGTGTTTGACCATTTCCTGTCCTTCTGTCAATCTGCTTCTACTCACGTGTTGTCAGTCTACTCTGTCCGGAGAAACAGACACACATACCCACAGCTCAGCCACCCAAAACAATACTCCCGTACCCGAGAGTAATATGATCATGTGTCTTCGCATTTATGCGTAAACCTTAAATTAAACTGTCTACCTATTCATGCGTGGTGATATTTACAGATGAAGATAATTTAACTATCAAAACGTTTTGTTGGAATTATAGAACAACATTATAACACAAATACGCAAACGTGCTCCGTATGCTTTTCGGTTCGGGTGAAATATAAACTAACAAGACTCCTCCGAATATGTGATTTTGGCCGTGGAAGACTCCATCAGGGTGACGTTCTCGATGTCGCCTCCACCGTTAGTCTTCCGCATGAAGTGGATCTCCAGTTTGTCCCGGTTGATTCCCTCTGGGATGTGGGAGACTAGGATTGACCGTCTGTCAGTATGCACGAAAGGCCCTTCAGCACCAGGGGCGTCTCCACTAAAATGTGAACATTGTGAAGACTGTTTTTAGAGTGAGAACTGAGGGTAAACTGTTTTAGTAGTGGTTTAGGGTGGCACTCTTAGTTAACACAATCAAATGAGAAAGAAGTTAAGAGCACTGAAGGTGGGTGTTGTTTTCTAATAGATTATCAATGACTACACAAAAGCAGCAGACATTTTGCAGATTTCCACTTGTGTGCGGTGTAAAACGATGTCAGTATCACCACCCCTCACTACCCCTGTATAGACCCTGCGTGCGGGTCAGCGAGCACACCTTTGTTTACATTTCCTTCCCTATCTTATTTTCAATCATCACAACATGGCACCTTGAGAATGCACGGTGAACTAGAAAGGCCAATATTTGCTTTGGAGCAAATACAGCGATGGGTTCACCACATTTTACGACATGGCAGGGAAAGAATGGGAAACACAAGGGAAAACAATGATTTACATTGATATAACTATAATATGAAGTAAAATACAACTAAAACAACAGTTGGATAGCTATTCCCTACTTTATTGGTTAGGATTTTTAATTGCATAATGCAAACTGTTGATTTTCAAAATAAAAAAAAACGTCCATGCCCGGCATTCCAATGCTGGAGCAGGAAAGCTTGAAATACCTACCAAAACACTTGAATACAGACATACTGTCAGTATGGAAATGCTTCTGTGCAGGTGTTAATCAAGTTAAATCCCAACAGCCAATCAGCAAGAAGTATAGAGGAAAGCTGCATGCCTATTGGTTGATGCCCTGCATTCCATTCTGATGACTCATGCCCAAACGTGGTAAACAAGGCAGACTAACACAGTAATACATTTGCTATAACACAGCCAAAAAACTCAAATAAAACCATTCTAAAAGCCTGTATCACAATAATTTAAAAAACGCCTAGGGGTATTTGCCCACTGTACCTCCATACCAAATTTCAGGACCTTAGGCCCTAAAATGAAGAAGCTGAATCCATTTAAAGATATGGCAGGAGGAGGAGGAGGAGGAGAAGGAGAAGGAGAAGAAACATCAGAAAAAGCAATATGGTTTCACCACACCACTTCGTGGTGTGGTGAACCCATAATGATCTAATGAAATGGTATAGGTATTGCTGACAATTGTATCAACATTCAACACATTCCTGGTAGACTGTTGAACAGGCAACCCCAACAATATCTTATATTAGCAATGTTCTGTCAAATATAAAAGATATTCATAGTATGTAACAGTCCCTACCTCCTGGCCGGGTTTCTGTTGCCCCTGTCGTCCATTGGGCGGTCAGTGACCTCCCCCGTGACGTCGTCCATGTTGTCACAAGCACCGCGAAACAATGCCCTGTCACATCAATGTTTCTGATTAGCCAATAGGTACAAAAAGGTCACGGTGTTCAAGCCTGCTTCACTTATGGTTTTGCCTTTTAAATGTTCAAGGTTCATGCATACCCCCACCCCGTCCGTACGTATGCACAAATTAATAATGGGAAATGATTACTGGGAAAACCAGAAAAAAGGCGACTTTGACATAGACATAATTTTCAATACTTAGTCCAGGCCTGACTTAGTCACTACAGAACGTAAGATATATCTATGGTACATTTCCTATTTTCATTCGCTCATTGTGTTACAGCGTGCTCATCAGACAATTCTAACAGATACAGTGCAAACAGTAAAGGTAAAGGTATGATAATTAGACTGAGTGTATAGACGACATTATGTACATTATGACCTGTGAAGTGTGATATGGTGTAAGTAATCCACCGTAAGTAAACATCTTTGCAGAGAAAAGCTATATGTTGTAAAAAGAGATTTAGTCACAAAGGGGAAAACTTCGCAGTCAACAACACATTCCTGTTAATGGCACTTGGTGGTTGAAAGATGTTTATTTCCTCCTTTCCTCCGACAAAATAGATAGGACTGCTAATATAGTAGTTTGTTGGTCTTTTCCCTTTACCACCCCCTTCCCCCACCGTAGGTGTGCCACTCATCATGCGGCAGGACATGTGCAATATGTACATCACATGATCTTAGACTTAGTGTAACGTACACAGAGACTCATGTACATAAGGTGGGAACGGTTCAAGGGCTGTTCTTATAATAGCTCTTGGGGGATTAAATCGTGACGGGATTAATGTAGTATTGTGTAGGTCACCAACACACAAAATACTTCAAGGAAGACTGAAATCCCTGATTCCCTATATCGTTTGCAGACATTACCCTTACTCACATTTCGATTGCGTAGCTGCCGTGCTCCGTGCTGTATAGCTGTGTATACTGACCTTAGATATATCTTTTGATTCCCTATATGGTTTGCTTCCATTAGTTTTAAGAACCTTCTCATGTACATGACTGTATACCACTCAGCCTACATGAAAACAGAAAAGAGGAACTATGTGCCTATTGCGTCGTACTGAAAGTTTCACTTACCTTTAGTTTATATACACTAGTTTCGCACGTTCTGGGCGATAAATCTACAGACTGCGCATGCTTTTCATGTGTTCGTGAAATGAAACTGTTCTTGTCCCCGCCTCTCGCGCTCTCTGTAAGACAAGAACCAGAGTGGACCAGAACCGAACTGCCAGTCGACCCTCAGGAGTGAAAGTGTTTTCGTGTCCCTACCGTTCAGGCACTGTATCACGTGATGGAAAAATGTCCAATAGAAATGCCTCCTGAGTCGGGGGTTCCCCTGACTCAAACGCCGTCTGATCAGGTGACGTCTTATGACCGATCAACATCGACCAGGAAGCGAAACTGTCCGCACGGCGACTAGTACGCATTTCTTGACTGTTTTTTGGGGTATCTTAAATTCGCATCCAGAAATCTCATGACCAGTTTAGAGCACTATTGAAGACACTTGTATAAATGACAACATGAGGTGTAGCTAAGAAAGCTTCTTGCTCTTTTATGTCGGGCAATCACTCGTACATCTGGCTTTTTGTGACCCGTAATGTGGCTTACTGGGTATAATGCAAACTGCGTAGCTGTCGCGCTATATAGTAGTGTATACTGACCTGAAATTCACACCGCTAGGCTGTCTTGTAGGCTTGCTCCTTTCTTCACGTGAATTTGTTGGCCGCGGACGTTGTCAGCATTCTCTTTAAGTGCACAGGTGAAGTTCAAGTTTTCTACAGATATCCACCTGTCGCCCTGACATGTACAGCAGGGAAGCGGACTTTGTCGTTTACTTGTCACCAGGTCACGTGCTTTTAGTGGACCAATCGGATCCTCCGGGCGCAGGCATTACCCTGACTCACATATGGAGTGACGTCAACAGGTGAAACTGGCGTTTCGGCGAAGCCTTGGTAGATTTCCACGTAGTCGGTTTCGGGCGAAATGTTGCATAGTTGAATCTACCATGTAGATTGTTGCACTGTAGCACAATGATAAGTTGGTACACTATTGCATTAGAGTTGGCATACTTATCATGAGGGCTAATATATCAGACTGGTCTCATCTATGCCCACATGCATTATGTAAAACAGTGCCTGTTGTAGAACAACTGTTCTATGGCATTTCTAGAATGTGCTCAAGCAACTGTACCCACAACGGACACTGTACACTTTTAACTGTTACACACACATTAGAGGAAACATTGTAGTATAGACCGTAGTTGCTCTATTCAACACTCGAGAGTCAGGTCAGTAGAAAGTTTTAATTAGCAAATGAAAACAGATAAAGCGAGAATATAAAACACAACCATGAAAGTATTACATGGCAATCTACTCCTCACTGACCTAACAATAGATAGGAAAAGAAATGTGATCACTGCTTTGTTAAACCCAACTCCCAGTTTGACACTTTTGAAAAAAGAGGCAAGAAGCACAGTCTCCAGAGTCGAAAGCAAAAAAACAGAGCTAGATTGTATTCCGTGAATAGTCTTAGAATAGTCTCTTGTTCCACTTGTCACCATTGTTTTTAAGCATGCACTGTTTGTATATACTTTCTATATATTATTGTTTCATGTTGCACTTACATGTAGCCTTTGGGCAAGAACTGGCATGGCAAACAAACTTGTTATAGATGAACTAGTTCTAAGTTTCCCGATCTGGATACGCCCTGTCATGCAATCAACATGTACAATTTGTTGGAAGAGGCTTGACTAGATTTCCCCATTTTGCTGTCATGACCGCTCTTTCGAAAACGGTTGGTTCGTCGCCAGTGTAAGTGTCATGTCCACAGCTCTTCTTGTGTCCAACAGACCAGTGTTGTTTCTGACAGTCTCGGCTGCAGTACCGGGTCAGCTTGCACTGGCCACACAGCTTCAGGGTGGACCTGGAGAGAGGAGATAACAATTACACTGAAGCTGTTTAGGACTAGGGTAGAATTCAGAAATGGTTTTCAACTGCAGACACACAACCAAACACACAGACACACACACAAACATACACACACACACACACACACACACACACACACACTGGCAGAGGGAGACATACACCAAAAACAATACACAAAACAACACCAAGTACCTACCTGTAGCCCAGTTTACCACACGTAGGATTGCAGCATCTCAACAGCTTGGTCTCCATTGCCTCTTGTATCAGCTTCATTGTCCTGTCATGAGCGCACACACAGACTTATGCACCCGCGTCCACCTCGCAGTACCTACAGGAAGATGTGGATGGTTTAGAGAATAGGTGTTGGTGACCTACACCCCCATTTCCCGTGTCTGACCATCTTCACCCCACCCATGTGCTGTCTAGCCTCTACCATGCTTCGGAAGGTGGCTAGAAAGAGTAGAAATTGACCAAATAGAGAGATGACATGCCAGGGGTGCGGCAAAATGTACTCTCCAGTGGGCCAACTCCCTCGTCATGTTATCTCTCTTTTTGGCCAATGTCTACTCTTTTCAGCTGCCTCCTGAAGCCTGGTAGAGGCAACATGCTGTCAACCTACTCTCAAGTTTATTGGTACCCCATTTCCTGTGTCTGGCCTTTAGACCTGTCAATCTTCCCCAAACCCACATGCTGCTACTCCGTCCGGACATACATATACACAAAACCACAGCTCAACAATATTTTAGAGTAACAGTAATTCATTCTATCTGTATAATCATGAAGGCTCATCTGTGTTGGTAGTTACATGTTAAACTTAAAGTTAAAACTTTTGATCCAACACAAAGAAATTCTCTCACATAGAGCTTCCAAAGAGTCACTCTGGTCTTTCTCAATAGACTGACCCAGCAGGGCCACGTGGCTTCTTTGACCCAGTGTTGACGTCACACATGAAGCTACGTGACAAGCCTCACTGGGTCAGTCTACTGAGGAAGACCAGAGTGACTGGTCGAATGCTCTAGGTGAGAGAACTTCTTTGTGTTGGATCATAAGACTTAAGGTTTTAACTTAAAAACAAGTAATTCATTCTGCAGTGACGTGACACTTACCCCAGGACTGATACGGGACCACAGTCCCTCAAATCAACCCTTGCTCCGAACTCAATCAGTCGCCGAACTGTGTCCACGTGTTTGAATAGACAGGCCATCATGATGGGCGTCCTCTGGAAAGCGTCCCGTGTGTCTACTGTTGCACCATGATGTACCAGCAACTCCACCACTTCTGTACTCCCTGGGTTGGAATTGCGATGTACAAAACTGTATACATCAAGCAACATTGCATTTTGTTTCTCATTACAATCAATGACAAACATTTACAATTCGTCAGTCCAAGACCAGCCACACACACACACACACACACACTGACACACCCAAACATGCGTATGCAGACACACACACACTCACATACACTGACACACACACACACACACACAATCTTCCGCAACGGTGAACCCATGTGCTGTCAACCTATTCTGTCTGGACAAACATATACACATACAACATAATTTGGCAATGGTATCAGGCGGTGGAACTATTGATTTTTTTATGGACAACCTACCTCGGATCGCTGCTCCATGGAGGGGGGCACATGATATCCCAATGGATTTCTTCGTTACAGACGCCCCCTTGCGGATCAGCAGTCTCACTACGTTGACATGCCCCATGAAGGAAGCGATGTACAGAGCTGTTCCAGTGCCGGTCAGTCCAACACCCGGCTGGATGTAGTCAATGTCTGCACCTACATGTGGTTACAGTCTACTTTAAAAGTAAAACTGAATTACACTAGAGAGATTTCTATGAGTACCTGTGGGTCAGGGATAGTCTCCACCAGACTCATTTGCAGGCTGAATAATACTAGCATGATACTTGTATGCAAGGAAACTGGACCCTCTATTGCTGGCTAACTCCCCTGGCCAGCTACATTCTTTTTAGGCTTCTAGTATAATATTATTCATTCAACCTGCAAAGGAGTCTGGTGGAGTCATTGAGGTCCTCTCAGATGGGATGTAAAGCTTGAGGCCCTATGTTTGAGGAGAGCCACACCTCCCTCGAAAACGGTACTCTCCAAGCAGAGGTTGTGGGGGAATAATCGTTAGCTTTTTATATATGGCCCTTTTTTTTGCCAATACCCCCACCAACCTTGGGTTGGACCCTCTCTGACCAATTGGAGTACTGCCTCGCCAATCGTGAGTGGTTCACTGACTTGATATTTTTGTGACCCTAGCATCTGCTAGAGATTACATTACAAAAATGGGCCAACCACACTTCCCGAAAAGAGCAGAATAGACTACAAATGTATCCAAGGAGGTTAAATTCAATTTCTATTTAACCTCCTTGATGTATCGAAGCAGATCCTAGGGTGGCAAAAGACAGTATCAAATTTGGCCACAGTATCTATTGGCCAGTGGGGGTCCATTTTATACACCTGGGTACCCTGTGTAACTGTGAGCAATTAAGTTTATTCATTTTATAACTCAATCCTTAGAGAAAACGTTTAATAGTAATACAACATAATTTCTGCTGTGAACTGAAAATGGAAACAGAGCAAGGAGCTTCCTTGTTGCTGGTGTTACGCGATGCACCGTATGGGACATCTGCTTTAGATTATGATCAGTTCGGAAGGGGGGAGGGGCAACAACACCATCAACAAAGGGGGTCTTTCTACTTGTAGCATAGCCGTGGACGACTCGAGTAATCGTTTTTGCATGATACTACTAGTATCCTGCATTATCATGCAAAAAGATTGCCAAGGGTGTTGCCAAGAAAACTAGATTATGCACAGTTCAAAGGGAATTATCTCTACCCGACTCCATGCAAGGAACCTCCTTGCTCGAAGCAGAGTCGAAGGAATCCGGGACAAGGAGGTAAATATAAAATTGATTCAACCTCGTTGCTTGGAGATCAGTGTCTAATTTACAGAGGAGTACATAATATTTCTTGCCTCGGTGCAATCCTATTTGTATGCTGGGGCTCCCATACTCGCCCTATTTTGTGGAGACTAGCGACCAATATATGTGCTTACCAGCTTTCAGAGCTGCTTTCACGCCTTGAAGGCAGCCCCTGTCAGCAGCGTCCAGCAGAGCTTCGTTCGCCTTTTCCGCCATTTCTTTAGGACCGCTGTTGTGGTGGGCACAGCTTGCGTGTGATCAAGAACTGAAGAAGCTTGTCGGAATTCCGTCAGAAGTGTGAAGATGCGCGGTAGAACTTATCTTGCCACGTGACCCATGTCTGGCGGCGTGAGCTATTGCAGTGGGCGGGGCTTAGTTTTTGCTAGTCTCGACCAGACTTCTTTTGCAGGCTGAATAATAAATCGTAGAAATCGCCCTAAAATGGGTATTAATTGGCGAGAGAAGGTAGCCGGCCAGAGAAGCTCCATTTGCCTGCCAAATAGAGCAAATAGAGCTGGAAGTTTTTGCCTCCACCAAGCCTTCCTGGTACAGTAAAACAAGTGTCGTTTGCCGCCGTGCTATTTTCCACTTTTTGCCCAACAAAATCGTATGCGACAAATGTGTTCTTTTATTTGAATAAAATGATATGGTCTTTGATTGAAATCTAGCTCCCCTACAAACACATATACATTTCCTCTTTTCCAATATGGATCATATATTAGCAATGCGAGAAGACTAATTATTGCATGGTACACTGTATACTGTTCCTTTTTAAAACAATTTTCTAAACGTACTTGTATGCATTTTTAGTTAGACTGTGGGTGATAGGAATTATATTCTTCTTGATTATATGTTGAAGATAGAACTAAGTTGGTTAAAGCTGAACATCGCCTTGCATGTTGCTATATTTATAGTGGTAACTGCGAGGATATCAATACTTGCCGCATTAAAAAGTTCAGTAAAGATGAACACCATTAAACATAATTGATTCAAATCAATACCTCAATAGCATAATTCACAAGGAAATGCTAAAATTGCCTTCTTTGCTAAGATAAGACTGGTGGGGAATATGATCAACCGATAGATATATAATGGGGCAATTATATACCAGATATATATAATGAGGCAATTGTTCACATAATCAATGAAAATGACGATAATTCGTCAGTTCGAACAGTTAACGTCATTTGACGAAGGTATGAGATCGTGAACTTCTTTATTTCACACGATACTGCTGGTACGATAGTAACATCACAATCAGCACTAGTAATAAATGTTTTGTTTGCATGTTTGATTGTTTGTTTGTTTGTTTGTTTGTTTCACGTATATAACTCGTGACAGAGCATAATGATAGAATATTCGTGAAAACATAAGAAGCGTAGTCTATTCAAGCCTAGTGTGAGAAGTACCACGCCATTTTAAAAATGCAAGCAAACGATAACATTCTAACCATTATGTTATTATGTCATTATGTTATATAAGTCAGTTGTTAGGAGATACTGACGTTAGTTTGTGCCGTGAAAGTTCTCACTTTGGCCACAGTTTTTGTTGTCATGAAGGTTCACGTTCCGTTACTGGATGTGTCGTTGTTTTGTGATTCTTCTAAGCGATCGTAGACACTTATTGTCTGAGGTGTGCGGATATTGTTAGCAGGAGTCGTTGTGCTGGATATGACTTCAGAGTCACTTGCTGTGTTGTTTGAAGACTTCACTGAAGTTTCATCGTTGGCTACTGTAGTCCCGACGGTCCAGGGTATGGTCGTCCAATCCTCATAGTCAACATCGAACCAGTCATCATATTGCTCAAGCTTCTCAAGTTCTTCATCTGTAAAGTCCCCAGTAACTGTAGGGAGAAAGTCTAGATGTTACTTCCAATCATGGCATGAGACAAAAATCTTGTTGGCTGTATATTTTGAGTGATATTTTGTAAGGTTCTTCTATGGCACAGTGAGGTGAGTGTGCTTGTTACGTGATTAACAATCACAACATAACATAGATCCGTCATTAATATAAATGCCAGGAAGAAAACGGAGATTTAAAACCTCCAGTATTTTAGGGGTTTTCGTGGCTTTTCCGTCCATATACCCCGTTTGTCTGATGTCATTCGGTCAAATATTACACCACTTCACCACTTGGGCGCACTGGGTCACCTTCAGACTTGACCCCTACCCTATACATCACGTCCCAACTACCATGCAACAGAGATATATGGACAGACAATACGGACACGCGACTCAGCCACCCAGGACAATACTTCCGTACCCGTGCGTAATAATGAGACAACCTCTAACTTACCTGTTGTATCATTAGTTGCTGAGGCATGGTCTGTCTCGATGCTATTATCCACTGTCTTCCGTGCACTCACTGTATCATAAGTTGGAACCGTGGCTGCTGAAGTTGTTTCATGTTTGCCATTGCTGTTTTCCACTGGAGTAGAAGGGACTAAACCAGCATCTGCAGTTGGCGGTGCTGTGACTGGGACATCACCTAATAAGTCTCTGTCTGACGAATTATCATCGTTATTCTGTCCAGACGTGTTGACTTCAGTTGAGATCACGCTCTGAGTTGTGATGTTGTTTAGTCCATTTGAATCGCCACTACCCGCAGTAGTAACGTTGTTCGCCGCATACGGAGATGCGGTCGGTGTACCCGAAATATTTCCTAACTTGCCTTCAGATCCCTCAACTGACGGCTCTTCTGAGATACTGACGTTACTTTGTGTCGTTTGAGTGCTCTCTTTGGTCCCAGTCGTTGTTGTAATGAAGGTTCCTGTTGCGTTACTGGATGCGTCGTTGATCGGCGATTCTTCAAAACGATCGGAGTCACTTGATGGCTGAGAAGTATTGACCTTGTTTACAGGAATTTGTGTAGTTAAAATGTATTCAGAGTTATTTGCGACGTTTTCGACAGACGTCACAGAACTATTATCATTGCTTACTGTGGTGGTGGCGACGGTTCCGGTAACTGGAGCTGAAGCTGTAGGAATATTTTCCACGTTACTTGGCGTGACGTTTGGTTCAGTTTTGTTTCCCTCGCTGCCAATTTCAGGGACTTTCCTGTCATCGCTGCTAACTACAGTTGTGTTTTTCTTCGTCCATTTTGTAGAAGCAGTGGATGTATCTAAAGGGTATGTATCTGCAGTCTGTACTTGACTGGAGTTTGCCTCTGCAGCTTGCACTTGGGAAAGATTTACACCTAGCGTCTCTCCTTGAGTATTGTTTTCACCTGAGGCCTGCCCTGGATCAGAGTCCGCACCTGCATATTGTGCTTGGTCAGGGTTTGCACCTGCATATTGTGCTTGGTCAGGGTTTGCACCTGCATATTGTGCTTGGTCAGGGTTTGCACCTGCATATTGTGCTTGGCCCATGCCATTGTCAACGTTATCACCGGGGGTAACGCCAATTTCACTTCCGTCGTCATCCACCTCCACATCTAGCTCATCCCAAAACTTCCTGTTGTCCTGATCGTCAGCAACTGTGTTGATTTTTCCCGCGGCTAAACGGATAGCATCATCTTCATTGGCGCTCCCTAAAAGAGACAGTACATAAAATCTGGTCACACATTGTTAGAATGATCCAAAATGTCTTGTTCTGCATGGAAAGATCTGAACCAATTCTACTGTTGTTAATGCATACTTAATATAACGCATTTTCTTACCTTTTAATGCCTCCAATTCGTCGTGAATCTTCTGAATTTCTTGGAATATCTTGGCTACCTCCTCCGATCCAAATTCTTCTTCAACCAGGTCTTTAACTGTAAATAATGATTATGTAACTATTAGTGTTTTCACCATATGGTGTTACATATATATTTTTCAACATTTTCATCTGTATGTATAATATGTGTACTCAACTGAATAAGTGTACAACGCTGATTTGTAAATAAAGTGAATGGAACTGCGGCATCTGGTAGTGACTTCGATGTTATTACTGATTTACTTTCGTCTGTTATCGTATCAAAAGTAAAACAGTAGGTCTTCATGATAGTAGTTTGTGTAAGTAAGATGTAGTCGGCGTCCATGCATTTCTTTTAATGTCTGCAGAGACAAAACCATGAATTACATGCATATACTTATGTGCGAAAATACTTATGTGCGAAATACATAAAAATATATGTGTAAATACAAGCTACGTACATCTTTCTTCTTGCTCTGGGGTCAGTTTGGCATAGCTGTCTGCCAGTTCCGAAAGTCCGAGCTTGAACTCCATATCTGTCAGAATCAATTGAAGGTCAGTGATAGCTGAAGGTACAGCCGTAGTGTATCTGGTAGCCTGGATACAAGCTATGTTATTGTATTACTGCAGTGCGCTATCTTCGCTATTTCCCTGCCAAGTGAACTAGGCCCTGTCCGTGTGCTGCATCTGCATATTTGGCCAGAATTTCAACAGGCAGGCCTGAGCGGCGGTATGGGGTTGAATTAGCTCATTATGTAACGCCATCAGCAGACGGCTGGAATATGAGCAGGTCAACTTAGTCTTCAAGTTTGGCTGGGAAGTGACGATGCTAAAAAAGGGCTGGCATTTGCAATGGGACTGAATGGGTTAAGTTTACAAAGTGGACTTAAAACATACACAGAATATTCTCCGTACAGAGTTAGGAAACACAAACATTTAGAGTAGAAATTGTTAATACTAACCTTCCGTTTCTGGATCCTTCCCATCTGCGGTGTCTTCAACAAGCTCCTCGAAAGCCTCCTCTTCTCCTTTGTTTAGTTGGAACGATTTTTCCAACTCTTCATTTGCTGAGGAAAGTATTCATATGTATCAATCTAACTGTTAACAAGAAATCGGAGATTTCAGACATCCTGGAATTATGCTGTTCTTGGCTTTCTGAATCCCCTATATTTATTTCTAATTCATGCTTGCTCTTCAGCAAAATTCGAAGACCATTGATCTCCTGTCATTCTGCCCACCTACGTGCTGTCAATCTACTCTTGTCCAGACAAACAGGCCACCAGCCCACAACTCAGCTACCCAAAAATGATACTTCTGTAACCAGAAGTTAAGAGGTAAAAACTTGGAACGGGCCCAGGTTTCAATGCGTTTAAGAGAGGAAGGAACATGGCTTCCAAGTAAATCGAATTGAACATTTTTTTTTGCGAAAAGATTTATGCATAGTAGAATGAAAGCATCTATCACATTACTGGTTCATTAGTCTTTTTTTGCAAAAATCCCTAGAACCAAGAAAATGAATTTGGTGTACCTTAAAGGGAACCTAATGAAGAGAATAAGGTGTACCTTTAAAGGTGTACCTCTAATGAAAAGCATAACATTACCTGGGTAAAGTTCTTGGCTTACCTGCTTTTTCGCTCTCATACAGTTCTTCCGCCTCCTGGAAAACCTGCTCTGCTCTTTCGACCCCCATTTTACGAACGAAAAGGCTTTTTACTGGAAAAAAAAGTTACAATGGATGATAAATTTTCACAAGATAACAAGAATCACCACAATCGAAATTTTAAAAGATCGGCTTAAAGATAATATATAGAAATACTGAAATATTGTTTTCAATTAACTTCAGGGCTTGTAATGTACATATACAACATATACACATAGACTTTTCTTTGACATACTTGGGGATAGCAAATTTGTCTGTACAATATTGTATTTATACAGTGTGAATATGTTTGGACTTACTACTATTACCGTATTACGTACAATATAACAGTGAATGTCACTTACTTTGTATCATTTCCTCGTCGTTCATCGTTCTTAGTTTTCTCACGATTTCTTCAACCTGAAGCCGGAAAATAATTTCTGCGCGACATGATAAAATACGTTAGAGTTATAGAAGTGTTACACAGTCAAAGTATCTCGTGTCTATCTGCATATTTCCACCAAAAAATCGGGTATTTCAAACTTCCAGAAAGTACGTATTTGTGGGTGTTCGTGACCTTGTATTCCGTGTACCATGTCTGACCTTTCATCCTATTGTCATGCATGTCAATCTTCCCTACCCACGTGCTGTCAACCTACGCTGTCCGGACAGGCAGATACACAAACCCGCAGCTCAGTCGCCCACACTAATTCTTTCGGAAGTAATTGCATCATGATGCTAGTCTAGTTTTATCCAAAGTTATCTACCATCTCCCTGCTTGCTCAAAGGAATTTGATTCCACACTTCATTCCACATGATTTACGAGCAGACAATTCTTAAAGTATGCAAATAGGTAGATACATTACAGAATCTTTAGATACTTTAGCTACTTTCATTGGAACGGTAGTCAAGGTCATATTGCACATGTACCTTGTTATTATGTTGTTAAAATCTTTGTATCTACCTTAGTATATCTACAAATGTACAGCTGTACAAGGCCTTGGGATAGTCACTGTATATACTTCTGTAGTGTCAGTTACGTTCATTTTACGGGGGTAGTTGTAAATAACATGGCTCCGATATTTTGTTTGAAGGACTAGAACAAAGTAGTACTCGCATGACAGATAAGCATCACTGATTGCCCTTGAACTTACTGTCCTGTTCAGGATCAATGTCGTTCTTTTCGTCTTCAATCAGCTCCTTTGTTGCTTCCACTTCCTCCTCGTTGAATTTGTATTTTTTGTTTAGCACTTTCAGCACTGTTGGAGGTACATGAAAAATAGGTGAATGGCACTAAATGCCTCATTCTGTATACATGTACTACTAGTATTATACAATATCTTCCGCTCTTTAACTGAACGGGCTTGCATACTTGGCCCTATGTAAAGTTGTCTGATGACGTCAGGTCAGGGGTTGATCACTGCAAAATAGGGGTGTCCATAGGTCTCCAAACATTTGTTCAAATTTTTTTCATCAACTTCAATCCGAGAGTCTATACTGGGCACATGTACTTTCTCATCCACCTAAAATTTCATCTATATTTTTTCTATATGCCTCAAACCTATAACGTTTCTCAAAGCTATAACGTTGTATGGGCGACTCAAAATGAAACCTGTGCACCTGCGAGTAGTATTCACCTTTATCTATTTAATCAGGTGATTAATCGCGTGCAAAACTTGTTACCCTTCGATATACTGTCTTACTAGTGCTGATTCTACAAATCTACATCCGTTTGTGTCAGTGTTATTCTATACCAAATCTCAAGTCGAAAACTATCTAATGCTATTGAGTTGAGATGCGTATTGTTGACAAGCCATCATGATTATTCACTCTCACGGTGTTGCTATGCTAGCTACGTTAAAGGTAGATAGACAAGTCACACTTACGTGTCTTTTCCTTCTTTGATAAGCCAACTTCGTTCACATCGGCCGGAAAACTCTTAACTTCGCCCAAAACCACCAAGAATAGAAAAAGATATACAACTGACGCCATATTTATGAATGAAGACACTGGAAGATATCTTGGAAGGCCCAGTGGGTTACCGTGTTGAATGGATAAAAAACCGGTTTGACATGTTACTCAGGAAACTAAGATGCAAATTGATCCCGGTGTCGACCAGACGCCATTTTGTCAGCGAGACACAGCCTTAGGCGATGACAGTTCAGTCACGAGGCTGTGGCTCTTACAAAAACGAGGACAACTGTACGAGAGGAATCTTTATCATCGTTTTATCTTGCTCACAGTCTGCAAAAGGGAAAATGTTAAATGTGGGTCTTGTAGAATTTAGAAACCAAAACTCATTCTGAACCGTTCAGCAAATATTCCAATTTAGATTGACATTTACTACTAATTCTCGACACAGTTGCAACATTTTTTTCACATTTCCCATGTATCTTGACGGCTCGAAAGCAAAACGCCGTGGACCCCTGGTTAGCGGTAGTCATCCACAGAAGTACGCAAATTTCAGGACGTATTCACGACACAACAGAGTAGCATCAATACGCTGTGAATAAACTTGTGAAAAGAAAACATGGCCAAGATCGATTACTTTGTTCAACTGTTGCAATAATCATTTGTATTCTTATAGTTGCAGCTCAATAGTTACATACACATATGTATACAATTCACACATATACATACAATTCACAGATGCGATGCGTCATACATATATCTAATGCGGATAAAGAAAATAGAAAAGATAAAATTTCAGCCTGCATTTCACAAATCTTTTAATAGAATAACATCAAGACGTGCAGAAAACTGTTTTCGTGTAGCTCTGCTTATACAATTGGATTGATGTCAAGCAAGAATGTAATGATGCAAAGCGTCATGTAATTAAGTGAGTAATCTGTCTACGACTGTTATACAGCGTCGATACCAAATTACATATTATCAACAAAATACATTTTACTATTTTCATGACACAAGTACAATAGACGTTTACAAGCATTGCATTGTAACCACGAGCAGGTTTTGTTTACAAAAGATTTGTGTATTACTTATATTTGAGAAATACGAATTCAAAGCTATTCGTATAGGTGTAGAAGCGTTTGTGGGCAGACATGTTCAGCCTTGGCTACCCTTCGATTTCCGCCTTCATAGCCTCTTCCGCGTCTGTGTCTGCACGAGCTAGATGATTGGAATAAAGAGTTAGCTAGAAACTTTAAATTCTTACATTCATGTGATTTTCAAAATGTTTCAAGAACATTCTTACATTCATGTGATTTTCAAAATGTTTCAAGGACATTGAGCAACAAAAAAAAGCTTTTAACTATTCATCCAAAACAAGAAATTGGAGATTTCAGTCTTATGGCTATTTTTGGCTTCCGTGAGCCTCAAGTTTACCCCCATTTTCTATGCCTGACATTTTGACCTCCTGTCCACCCACGTGCTGTCATGAAACGGAGGTACATAGACAGACACAGACAGACAAACACGCGACTCAGCCACCCAGGACAATACTTCCTTACCCAGACGTAATAACGAGACAACCTCTAACTTACCTTTTGTAACATTAGTTGCTGAGACATAGCCTTTTTCGGTGCTATTGTCCTCTGTCTCCTGTGCACTCACTGTACCATTAGTTAGTGTGGCTGCTGAAGTTGTTTGGTCTTTGCCATTGCTGTTTTCCACTGAAGTAGAAGGGACTGAACTAGCATTTACAGTTGGTGGTACCGGTGCTGTGACTGGGACATCACCTAATAAGTCTCCGTCTGACGAATTATCATCGTTATTCTGTCCAGACGTGTTGACTTCAGTTGTGATCACGCTCTGAGTTGTGATGTTGTTTAGTCCATTTGAATCGCCACTGCCCGCTGTAGTAACGTTGTTCGCATACGGAGCTGCGGTCGGTGTACCCGAAATATTTCTTAACTTGCTTTCAAATCCCTCAACTGATGGCTCTTCTGAGATACTGACGTTTCTTTGTGTCGTTTGAGTGCTCTCTTTGGCCTCAGTCGTTGTTGTAATGAAGGGTCCTGTTGCGTTACTGGATGCGTCGTTGATCGGTGATTCTTCTAAACGATCGGAGTCACTTGATGCCTGAGAAGTATTGACCTTGTTTGCAGGAATTTGTGTAGTTAAAATGTTCTCAGAGTTATTTGCGACGTTTTTGACAGATGCCACTGAATTAATATCGTTGCTTACTGTGGTGGCGGCGACGGTTCCGATAACTGGAGCTGAAGCTGTAGGAATATTTTCCACATCACTTGGCGTGACGTTTGCTTCAGTTTGGTTTCCCTCGCTGCCAATTTCAGGGACTTTTCTGTCATCGTTGCTCACTATCGTTGTTTTTGTCTTCGTCCATTTTGTAGAAGCAGTGGATGTATCTAAAGGGTATGTATCTGCAGCCTGTACTTGACTGGGGTTGGCCCCTGCAGCTTGTACTTGGGAAAGATTTACACCTGGCGTCTCTCCTTGAGTATTGTTTGCACCTGAGGCCTGCCCTCGAACAGAGTCTGCACCTGCAGACAGTACTTGAACAGGGTTTACACCTGCATTCTCTACGTGCTCTGGATTTGCACCTGCATACTGCGCTTGGTCAGGGTTTGCACCTGCATACTGTGCTTGATTAGGGTTTGCACCTGCATACTGTGCTTGGTCAGGGTTTGCACCTGCATACTGTGCTTGGTCAGGGTTTGCACCTGCATACTGTGCTTGGTCAGGTTTTGTACCTGCATACTGTGCTTGGTCAGGGTTTGTACCTGCATACTGTGCTTGGTCAGGGTTTGCACCTGCATGCTGCTGTGCGTGCTCTGGGTTTGCACCTGCATATTGTGCTTGGTCAGGGTTTGCACCTGCATACTGTGCTTGGTCAGGGTTTGTACCTGCATACTGTGCTTGGTCAGGGTTTGCACCTGCATACTGCGCTTGATCAGTGTTTGCACCTGCATATTGCGTTTGGTCAGGGTTTGCACCTTCAGACTGCATTTGGTCAGGGTTTGCACCTGCAGACTGCATTTGGTCAGGGTTTGTACCTGCATACTGCGCTTGATCAGTGTTTGCACCTGCATATTGCGTTTGGTCAGGGTTTGACCCTGCAGACTGCGTTTGGTCAGGATTTGTACCTGCATATTGTGCTTGGTCAGGGTTGCACCTGCATACTGTGCTTGGTCAGGGTTTGCACCTGCATATTGTGCTTGGTCAGGGTTTGCACCTGCATATTGTGCTTGGTCAGGGTTTGCACCTGCATATTGTACTTGGTCAGGGTTGGCACCTGTATACTGTGCTTGGTCAGGGTTTCCACCTCGTATACTGTGCTTGGTCAGGGTTTGCACCTGCATACTGTGCTTGGTCAGGGTTTGCACCGCATATTGCACTTGGTCAGGGTTTGCCCCTGCAGCTTGTACTTGGTCAGGGTTTGCATCTGCATACTGTGCTTGGTCAGTGTTTGCAACTGCATACCGTGCTTGGTCAGGGTTTGCACCTGCATATTGTGCTTGGTCAGTGTTTGCAACTGCATGCTGTGCTTGGTCAGGGTTTGCACCTGCATATTGTGCTTGGTCAGGGTTTGCACCTGCATACTGTGCTTGGTCAGGGTTTGCACCTGCATATTGGACTTGGTCAGGGTTTGCACCTGCATACAGTGCTTGGTCAGGGTTTGCACCTGCATATTGCACTTGGTCAGGGTTTGCACCTGCATATTGTGCTTGGTCAGGGTTTGCACCTGCAGCTTGTGCTTGGTCAGGGTTTGCACCTGCATATTGTGCTTGGTCAGGGTTTGCACCTGCATACTGTGCTTGGTCAGGGTTTGCACCTGCAGACTGTGCTTGGTCAGGGTTTGCACCTGCATACTGTGCTTGGTCAGGGTTTGCACCTGCATATTGTGCTTGGTCAGGGTTTGCACCTGCAGCTGCGTTTGGTCAGGGTTTGCACTTGCATTCTGCGTTTGGTCAGGATTTGCACCCGCATTCTGCGTTTGGTCAGAGTTTGCACCCGCATACTGCGCTTGTGCTTGGCCCATGCCATTATCAATGTTATCACTGGGGGTAACGTCGTCAGGCACCTCCACATCTAGCTCATCCCAAAACTTCCTGTTGTCCTGATCGTCAGCAACTGTGTTGATTTTCCCCGCGGCTAAACGGATAGCATCATCTTCATTGGCGCTCCCTAAAACAGGCAGTACACAAAATCTGGTCATACATTGTTAGAATGATCCAAAATGTCTTATTCTGCTATGGAAAGATCTGAACCAATTCTGCTGTTCTTAATGCATACTTAATGTAACGCATTTTCTTACCTTTTAATGCCTCCAGTTCGTCGTGAATCTCCTGGATTTCTTGGAATATCTTCGCTGCCTCCTCCGATCCAAATTCTTCTTCAACCAGGTCTTTAACTGTAAACAATGATTATGTAACTATAAGTGTTTTCGCCATATGGTGTTACAACATTTTCATCTTTTTGTAACTGTACCCAACTGCATACGTGTACAACACTGATATGTACATAAAGTGAATTGAACAACCGCATTTGGTAGGAACTTCCATTACTGATTTAGTTTCGTCTGTTATCAAAAATATCTAAAACAGTAGGTCTTCATAATAGTAGTTTGTACTGCATAGTAATGTCTGCAGAGACAAAACCATGAATTCGAAGTGAGTTTACGTACATATACTTATGTACGATGTACATGTACATATAAGGTAAATACAAGCTACGTACATCTTTCTTCTTGCTCTGGGGTCAGTTTGGCATAGCTGTCTGCCAGTTCCGAAAGTCCGAGCTTGAACTCCATATCTGTCAGAATCAATTGAAGGTTAGTGATAGCTGAGGGTACAGTCATATTGTATCTGGTAGCCTGGATACAGGCTATTTTACGAGTATCGTAGCTGCAGTGCGCTGTCTTCGCTATTTCCCTGCCATGTGGACTATGCATCCGTCTGCATCTGCATATTTGGTCAGAATTTTTCAACAGGCAGGCCTGAGCGGCGGTATGGGGTTGAATTAGCTCATTATGTAACGCCATCAGCAGAGGGATAGAATATGAGCAGGTCAACTTAGTCTTCAACTTTGGCAGGGAAGCGACTATGCTAAAAGGGCTGGCATTTACTGAATGAGGCTGAATGGGTTAAGTTTACAAAGTGGACTTAAAACATACAAAGTCATACATTCTCCGTATAGAATAAAGAAACACAAACATTTAGAGTAGATGAAATGGTAAGTACTAACCTTCCGTTTCTGGATCCCTCCCATCTGCAGCGTCTTCAACAAGTTCCTCAAAGGCCTCCTCTTCTCCTTTGTTTAGTTGGAACGATTTTTCCAACTCTTCATTTGCTGAGGAAAGCATTTATAGGCATGAATCCAAATATTAGCAAGGAATCGGAAATTTCAGACATCCTGAAATTATGCAGTCTTTCCTGAATCCCCCACATCCATTTCTAATTCATGCTTGCTCTCCAGCAAAATTCAAAGACCATTGACCTCCTGTCATTCTGCTCGTCAATTTCCCCCCACCCACGTACTGTCAACCTACTCTTATCCAGCCAAACAAACATATGAAAACCCACAGTTCAGCTACCCAAAACAATACGTCTCTAACCAGAGGTAAAAACTAGGAATGGATACAGAATTCAATGAGTTTAAAAGAGGAAGAAACATATAACTTGTTCCCTATAAATCAGTTGAATTGAGATTATTTCATGTCAATCAGATGATTCATTTTTTTTTAAAAGTACGAAAACCAAGAAATTGAATTTGGTGTGCCTTTGATTAGTTTTAAATGGAACCTAATGAAGAGCATAACATTACCTGGATACTTGGCTCACCTGCTTTTTCGCTCTCGTACAATTCTTCCGCCTCCTGGAAAACCTGCTCTGCTCTTTCGACCCCCATTTTACGACCGAAAAGTTTTTTTACTGGAAAAAAAATCACCATCGATGATAAATGTTAACAAGATAACAAGAATTACCACAATCAAAATTTTGACAGATCAGCTTAAACATTATGGAAATACTGAAATATTGTTTTCAATTAACTTCAGGGCCTGTAATTTCCATGTACAGAGTACACATGCAACGGACTTTCCTTTGACATACTTGTGGATAGCAAATTTGTACAATATTGTATTTATACAGTTTGAATATGTTAGGACTTGTACTGTTACGTACAATAGTATAACACTTACTTTGTATCATTTCCTCGTCGTTCATCGTTCTTAGTTTTCTCACGATTTCTTCAACCTGAAGCCGGAAAATAATTTCTGCGCGACATGATGAAATACGTTAGAGTTATAGAAGTGTTACACAGTCAAAGTATCTTGTGTCTATCTGCATATTTCCACCAAAAATCGTGTGTTTCAAACTTTCAGAAATTATTTGTGGGTTTTCGTGACCTTGTATTCCGTGTACCATGTCTGACCTTTCATCCTCTTGTCATGCATGTCAATCTTCCCTACCCACGTGCTGTCAACCTACACTGTCCGAACAGGTAGATACACAAACCCAGAGCTCAGTCGCCCAAACCAAAATGCAATTCTTCCGGAAGTAATTGCATCATGGTGCTAGTCTAGTGTTATCTAAAGTTATCTACCATCTCCCTGCTTGCTCAAAGGAATTGATTCCACATAATTTACTGGCAGACGATTCCTGGTCAATGCAAATAGGTAAACACATTACAGAATCTTTAGATATTACACTGTCATGCGAACGGTCGTTAAGGTGATATGGCACATGTACCTTGTTACGCGTATTGTATTGCTAAAATCTTTGTATCTACCTTTGTGTATCTATCGCTGTACAAGGCCTTGTGAAAGTCACTGTACTTCTGTCAATTACGCTCATCACACGGGGGTGATTGTAAATAACATGGCTCCAGGGTTTCTGTGATTCTGAATTATCAATATACACAATATGCAACTTTGTAACATATCGACAGAGCTGATATTTTGTTTGAAGGACTCAACAAATAGTAGTACTGGTAAGCATCACTGATTGCCCTTGAACTTACTGTCCTGTTCAGGATCAATGCCGTTCTTTTCGTCTTCAATCAGCTCCTTTGTTGCTTCCACTTCCTCCTTGTTGAATTTATACTTTTTCTCTAGCACTTTCAGCACTGTTTGATATCGATGAAAAATAAAGGATAACACTAAATGTTTCATTCTGTATACATAATCATAATACTATACCTCCCTCCCTGGATTAGCATACTTGGCCCTAGTTAGAGCGGTACTAGTTCTGAGAGTCTGTGAAAGTCAGAGTTATAAGGGTGTAACTTGTTATATATCATAGAAAGGAAAATTACATTACATGGCAAACTTCTGGTAACAAACGAGAACGTCGTATTTGCCAGATCCCCCGGCCCCCCATTTGAACACTGACTGACTGAACAAACAACAGGTAAACATTTAAAGTTGTATGATGACGTCAGGTCAGGGATTAATCACTACAAGATAAGGGTGTCCATAGGTCTCCAAACAATTGTACGAAAGTCTACAGTGTGCACGTGTACTTTCTCATCCGCCTAGAATTTCACCTACATAACCTGGGGCGAACTGGTCGTAAATAAGTGGGGCGAAAGTGACATGGGGCGAACCGACCTGTGAACCTGCGAGTAGTATTCACCTTTATCTATTTAATCACGCGCACTAACTTGTTACCCTTCAATGCACTGTCTTACTAGTGCTGATTCAAGAAATCTACATCGGATATTGTAAGTGTTATCTCAAATAGAAAACTATCCAATACTATTGAGTATTGTTGACAAGCCATCATGATTATTCACTCGCGGTATTGCTATGCTAGCTACGTTAAAGGTAGATAGACAAGTCACACTTACGTGTCTTTTCCTTCTTTGATAAGTCATCATCTTCGTTCACGTCGGCCGGAAAACTCTTAATTTCGCCCAAAACCACCAGGAACAGAAAAAGATACAAAACTGACGCCATATTTATAAATGAAGACACTGCAAGATAACTTGGAAGGCCCAGTGGGTTAACGTTACCGGTTGAATGGATTAAAAAACCGGTTTGACACGTCACTCAGGAAACTATTGAAGATGCAAATTGATCTCGGTGTCAACCAGACGCCATTTTGTCAGCGTGACACAGCCTTAGGCGATGACAGTTCAGTCACCAGGCTGTGGCTCTTACAAAAACGAGGACAACTGTACGAGAGGAATCTTAATCATCGTTTATCTTGCTCACAGTCTCCAAAAGGGAAAATGTTAAATGTGGGTCTTGTAGAATTTGGAGACCAAAACTCATTCTGAATCTAAAAATCCCAATTTAGCTTGACATTTACTTAGTTTCATTTTTTTCACATTTCCCACGTATCTAGACGGCTCGAAAGCAAAACGCCGTGGGTCCCCTCGTTTTCCACAGAAGTCCACAGAATCATCCACGGAAGTACGCAAATGAATTTCAGGACGTATTCACGACACAACGGAGCATTAATATGCTGTGAATAAACTTGTGAAAACATGGCAGGAAGATCGATTACTTTGTATTCTTATAGTTGCTGCACACTAGTTACATACCTACATGCCTACAATTCACAGATTCAGTACGTTATACATGTACATGCATGTATCTAATGCGGATGAGGAAAATCGAAAAGATGCAATTTCAGCCTGCATTTCACAGATCTTTTAATAGAATAACATCAAGGGAATGAATGTAACAACGAAATCTACACTGGAAGGCAATGCTTGATTATACAATGTAAGAAACACATAAGTCTGGATATAATTCTTATATCTAGCAGCAGTGTAGCAAGACAGAATACATTTCTATATGTATAAGAGAAACAAGCTGGAATAGGTAGAAGGTAGGACGAATTTACTGTCCATTTTATGTAGCTCTGCAGTGTTCAGTTAGACAGATCTGTTGTATACATGCTATTACTAATAGTCTAATGATGTGAAGCAAGAACGTAGTGATACAAAGCGCCACGGAGTTAGGTGATTGATTTGTCTACAACTGTTATGCAGCGTCGATACCAAATTACATATCTACAAAATACATTTACTATTTTCATGGCACAAGTACAATATATGTTTTACAAGCATTGCATTGTAACCACGAGGTTTTGCTTACAAAAGATTTGTGTATTCGAATTTTTCGAATTCAAAGCAATTCTTGAAGGTGTAGAAGCGTTTGTGGACAGACATGTTCAGCCTTGCCTAGCCCCCGATTTCCGCCTTCATAGCCTCTTCCGCGTCTGCGTCAGCACTTGCTAGATGAGTGGAATACAGAGTTAGCTAGAATCTTTAATTTCTTACACTCATGTCATTACCAAAATGTTTTAAGGGCATTGAGCAACAAAAAAGCTTGAAACTATTCATTCAAAACAAGAAATTGGAGATTTTCTTATGGCTAATATATATTTGACTTTTGTGAGCCTCAAGTTTACCCCATTTCCTGTGCATGACATTTTGACCTTCTGTCAACCCACGTGCTGTCAACCTACTCGCAATATCATGATCACGTTTCCTGAGTCTGACCTTTTGGACTCCTGTCACTATGCCTGTCAATTTTCTCCATCCCATTTTTTATTGTTGTAAATCTACTGTATCTGGACAAACGTTAACAGACACACAAACTCATATCTCAGCCACTCAAAACAATACTTCTGTACCCTCAAGTATTCAAATGGCTAATAGATGTACAATAGAGAGTAATAGTCTCCCTCATGACCAGCTGAAAGAATGCGGGTTTTCTATTGATGTGTTTTAATGATACACGATATATAGTTTCAGGATAGCCTACCTTTTGCCTGGACTTCCTCGCGAATAACCTTGATGGCGTCAAGGATCTGCTGTGCAGTTTCTTCTCCGTAGGTCGCTGTAAGTAGTGCTTTCTCTATAAAGAAGTAGAAGCCACATCGTCATGTAAACATATAAAACATGCACGTTATCGCTAACTGTGAGAAGACCACACGCTAGAAAGGAATATAAATGAAATGATTCGAATTAATTTTTCATCTATTTCGATGTGGAATAAGAAATGACAGGTTTCAAACTCCCGGGAAGTATGCAAGCTTCCACCTCCTGAATTCCAACCATATCAAAGCTCTGGTTAGATTCTGAGACATTTGATCCCCTTTCATTCAGTCTGTGATCAATCTTCATCTACCCACGTGCTGCAACCTACTCTGTCTGGACAGACCGAGACACAAACCCACATCTCAGCCACGCAAACCAATTCTTCCATACTCGGAAGCTAATATGCAAATGTTGTTAAAACTAGATGTTATATTGACAGAATGCGGATCTGAGCACAGGTACCGACCTGTGTCCTGGTCCTCTGGTGTTAAATTAAACAGCTTCCTCCCGTCCTTGTTGATTCTCCTCATGATCTTAGGGCCTGGTGAGATAGAGCGACAGAATCAGTCAGTAGGAAGAAAATTCTTAACTTCGACTTCTAACACGAAATAACCTTTACATTCATCCAATTTTTCGACTGCGTATCTGCGCTAGTACTACTGTACTTTGCACGGAATGTGTAGTCTGGTGGCCGCAACAGACTATCGCAGACTCGTCGGTATCTCAGCTACGGGACTGGAATCCCCGGGAGTATTGCTTGTACCTGATCAGACTGGTATGGAACCCTTACCATGCATATGGTTGTTTAACTTAGGAAGTAAGGTATGATAAACTTTAACTTGCAAAATCATGCCCGAAGGCTAATTTCATGCACATTGCCAGAGCAAATATGAAGTAATAGAAAACATACTGTCTAATCAACTTTAGGGCACTACGTTCAACATTTGGGTACGTGTTCGATAAATTCACCATAGGACCATACACAGCACAGGGGGTAAAGTAAGTCAACCTCTGAACGAAGTATGAAAACAAAATTGACTTCTTACTTTCATGGAGTGGATCCTTTCCGGCAACAACGTCCTTCTCAAGTTTTTGGAGAGCATTTTTCTCGTGGTAGTTCATGTTGAAATCACGTTGAAATTGGTCCTTTGCTGTAATTATATATATTATGAAGATAGAATTTGCGTATGCACAATAGATACAAACATGGGTGTGGGGGCATACATGTATGTCTAAACATTTTCCGGTAGTAAAACAAATTATTTACCTTCCAATTCAGCCTCCATGATTTGTTCGCCCACATCAAAGAGTTGTTGAGCAATGTCTGATCCGAGGTTTTGGCGGAATTCTTCTTTTACTAAAGACAAAAACACCAAGCATTTAACACAAATTTATATAAACAAAAACGTCCCTGCAGTAGTACTATCAATAATACACGTACATGTGGTATATAGGCGAAACAATTAATTGCTGTTAGCCATCAAGTGCAAAACATTACTTTTCTGTCAGATGTCCATGAAACATCAAGTCTTACGGATCGTTGACATTCGTCGTAGGTCGTCGAAAAATTTTCATGTCGTGGGATTTTCAAACATGCTGCTGTGACAGAACCAATTTACAACCCCGACATGTATCTTTTAAGACAGCTGAATTCTCTTTCCGGCCATATAAGTCATATTGGTGGCTAAATTCTGGGTGATGGGTCTAATTCCACGTGCAAATGGCCACTTTTTGGCATAATTTTTCATCGAAAAAATTCTTTTCCCCCTAAAACTTACTAAAATGTGGGAGGTGAAAGAAATTGAAATTCTATTGTTCTCGTAGCTAGAGAGATATCCTTCATTTGCAAACACAGTATTTTGGCTTAAGAGCTATTTCCTGAAAGAGACGGTCGCTAGAGTTGAGGGTATGCAGAATCGAATTGAGACCAAAATAAACTGGGATGTGCCGCCTCAAGAGTAAGTTACCGTGATGTGTGTATAGCCCAACCAAATGTTCAAATTTCTTACTTTGTTCCTCACGGAATGGGTTTTCTTTCAGAAGATTCCGGTATGCCAACGCCAGTTCCATTTTTGTAGCTGGGTCTACACCAAACAAAATGGAGTATTTTATTAATAAAGTTATGTTCTCATAGATATCAATACTGTATTTGGAAAATGTGCAGGTCATTTTACTTATCGCTTCTCTGACGTAAGTCAAAACAAAGGACTATGAACAAGACAAGGGATGGTGGCAAAGCTATGTGTCAATTATTTAACGTCTGATAAATAGCAAAGTCCAGTTTACGGATAAGTGCATTTTCCTATGTTTACCGCACAACATGGAGTTCATTGGCTCTGCTATCGCTTAATTAATTAATGCCCTTGAACTCAGGAGTTTTGAAATATTCGGTAATATCAGAAACTGTACCTTCGGCTTTTGGGTCCTTCCCAGCTCGGATGTCCTCGATGACTGTACGCACTCCGTTCACCTCGTTTCCATTCCATTTCAGATCCTTGTGCCCAAGAAGTAACTTCAGAACTGAGTAGAATGTACGTGTACATGTAATAGTAAACAGATGCAAGTGGGGGAAGGGGCGCTGTCAGAGGAGAGGGGTAAAAGTATATTCAGTGTACTGTAGAAGAATGCGTCCCCGTGAGATACAACATAAAATTCGGGTGCGTTCCCCTTGAAAACACGGGGTTGACTTAATTAATTTGCCGATAATACGACAAGATACTAGTAGTCGAGTTTTAGATCTACTGTTGATACTCACGATAATTTTCCCTCTGCAAAAACGTAGGACCGTCCGATGCTTGTCCTTGAGGGACATCTTCACAAAACGCCACAGCCAGTAAGGTAACCGCTATTAGTTGTAGAAAAGCCATATTGACGCTCTCCGAGGCTCGTACTGTACAAATTCGTCCAAGAGCTCTTACATGTAATCCGTTTCTGTTGACCTCGCCTGCGTCAGAAGGAACCGGTTGGTTTGGTCATTTGTGTGCGTACTCCACCTTATTTAATAGTAGTGAGACTCATTACTGTTTACGTGTATACCTCCAGGCAATATACAAGCCACATACGTCAGAGCACAGGTATGACTGTGACTGTGTGTGTATGTTCAACCGCGCCTAGTTTTACTGAACCATATCACGCCTCACTGACGCACGGAGTTTGTTATGATGAAGATTCGTCAAACCAAACTACACTTTATAATTAATGAGACTTTTATTTGGTGGGTCGTGATGAATAAATACACCAAGGCCGTCATATTGACGTTTTTTTTTACAATATGCTAAATTGTGCTAAACTGTCTTCTGATAGTAGTCCTGTCGTATTACTCTGTGTAACCACTGAAAGTACGTATCTTGGGTGCCGATGCTACAACTTTACAATTTCTCGCTATGCAAGGAAACGGTAATTCTCTGTCAAGAAGTCAAAGAGCTACAGTTGAAACATGAAATTGATAAAACCGTCGAAATATGAACTGTGGTTTTTAGTGGAAGCACTCTTCGGCCAAGGCAAAAATGGGACATTCTGGGCACCGGGCTCAAACGTTTTTGTCCAAGTATGGGATACGAACCATGCCAGGGGTTCAGAGGATTGAAGAGACAGACACGAACGGAGAAAATCAGTCTCGTTCAATACAAACAGCTCTCTAATACTGTATCGTATTTTCGTTCTCTTGTGCTCGAGGCTTTAGTGTCATGTCATCCCTCTTATACTATAGTAAAGAACTGTCATTATATAGGATATTTAATAGTTTGATTTATGTTATTGTCATGGATGTATTCAATTTGAGACAGTAGGTCTTGGCGTCCCTTCGAATCCATGCCTATATGTGCATAGCTATGGGTATGGACTCTGCAGAACTTTATATATATATTTTTTGTCGTGTCATGTTTCAGGTAAAAGACAGGTACAATGTACAAGAAAGTTTGCCATATATGGACAGACGACTGTGATTAGGATAGGGGTGTTAACAACTATTAGCACCGCTCAAAGTAGTTTTTCTCTCATTTCGTTCGAGAATCCTTTGTTATTGTTCGTACAGAACCTTAACGTCATTGTAATGAGCCGTGTTTTCTTCTCGGATGAGAGTTATCCGAAATTGAAAATATATCAGTCATGAAGTAACCCCTAAACCTTCATAGTACACCCCTAACAATGCTTTATCACGTCTGTTCTGGAACAATGTAAGGCGAGAAGCCCTGACGACCACAATCGAACACCTTGGTAACGCCACCAGACCACTGCAACCTCCGAGACGAACGGACGTGCGCGCCGCTTCTCTGCCAAATACTTGCTTCCCGTTTTGACCAGCGCTCGCGTTAGAGCCACACACTCCGGGAAAGTGTTCATTAATCTTGCCTGCACACTGAGGTGAAATAATGGCGCCGTAAACACCGAGGCTAAAAAGTTAGAGGCAGCTGAATAGTTGCCCATCATCAGAGAATATCTGGAGAATTCACCTGACGACATCCTGCAGCACCACTAATCTCCGCTAGAGGGCGTTCCGCGTTACACCCCAAAGTCTCCTGGGAAATCTGAGCTCCACCTTCTCCATTTCTACACTGCAGTCGCACCGAGCAAGATGGGTTAGACTCAAGTCACGACTCCGCCGGTCCTGAGTGCCTTCAGGGGCACTTGGGGGCCAAAGACTCTGTCATAGAGAAGAACTGATTATTTTTCTTGTTAATCACGGACTTTATGAACTATATTCTTCGTTGTGACCAGTTTACGTCGACTCTACACGTGTTCAAGAATCGAACATTCAAGGTAAGAGTGCGTAAAGTTTGTTATGGTATGAAGTTTCTGGAAGTGGAAGGGTTGTGTGTTGTGTTTTTTTTTACATAGAATTTCATGACTTAGGGCCATGTGTTAACTGTCTGACCGTACCATGATCGGATGCCTGGCTGTAGCGCTAAATTGTTCATGGTTCTGGTCCAGAGGTGACAACTGGATTGACCAGGACGTGTTTCAGCGGTTTTACAGCCCCCCTCCCCACACATATCGAGGAACGATGGGTACAATTCATGACTCGGGACCGTATGTTAACTGTCTGGTCGTAACATGGTCCAGTGGCTGACTGTGGCGCTATTGTTCATGGTTCTATTCCGAGCCACAATTTGACCAGGACGTGTGTTTCAGCGGTTTGATAGCCAGCTCACTCGTGTTCTGTTGAATTGATGTGCTAGGTAGATCTTAAAGGTATCTTCACGCGTGGTAACATTATGTACGCATGGATGCCACACACCAATGATGTTACTTGGTATAAAATAGAATGAAAAAAATCTTTATAAACTAATGTGTATGAAATATCATTTCAATTATTCTGATAAGATTGAATTAATTGGTTTTGGTGCCTTCATGCAAGGTTTGAGCCATGATACTGTGTCACATGATACATTATGTCAACAGTAGGGATGAAATGCATGCTCATGCATGTAACATGTAATTTTTAGCAGTCAGACCCTACAGATTTCTTCAGCCATTCTTGACAATTTTTTTCCTTTTCGTCTTTCAGTAGTTAATCAACAAAAATCAACATGAGCAACTCTAAGTCTAAGAAGGAAAGCTATGCTCTGCGCCAGCAGAAATACAGTAACGCTATCATCCGGGGCCGTCGACACGTCCCCACCCCTGAAGCCGTTCCACCGTCCTCTCTCCTGGACGCCCCCCCACTGTCTCCTGTACCACTGCCTTCACCCCCCAGGGAGCGTATACCTGAGTGGGACGACCCGCCAAGACTGGTCACCAACCTAAACAGGAAACAACCAGCTCCTCAGGGTGGATTCACGGCAGCTAACAGGTAATTATTAAGTTTCATGTACACCTGTCCTGGTTAATTAGATAAGGTGTCAAGTTTTGTGTACACCTGTCCTGGTTAATAGATAAGGCATTAAGTTTCATGTACACCTGTCCTGGGGTAAGGGTTTGCTTTGAACAGGACCTGCTCATCAGAAGTAAGATAAGTATTTAGTAATATAGTTCATTGTTTTTCTCTGTGAACAGGTATGTCAAGACTCCAACACACCCGGACGAAAATGCCAAGGTGTTTGAAGAGTATGCAGAAAGGATGAATGATATCCAACAAAAGCAGAACAACATGGGAGAGGGCAAGCGACCGAGGAAACCCTCCAGACGTCCGCAGACCCCAGCTCTTGTCTCCATGATGATGGGCTCTAGGAATGATGAGAACATGACAGAAATGGATTGCTACGTGGCAACGATGGATTCCAAGAAGAAGGTACGCGAGCCCATGGGAGCTGACAAAACAAGGGCCAGAACAGCCCGCAAGCACGCTGCAAAAGCTCCCACATTGAAGTCTGTGGAAGAGCAACAGGTATTCTCACTCGGACGTTATGAGGAGAGAGTCCCAACAAAAGCAGTGCTCAACGACTGGATGGATCATCTCAAAGAGGAGTTCAACTCTACCGACCCTGCTGGAGCTCCCACCCCCACGATGGACAAGCAGGCAGACTGCGGAGCAGCTGTGGTGGAGCAGGTGATGGAACCAGACACAAACCACGAGGCTAAGAAGAAGAAAAAGAAGAACAAGAAGAAGCAGAAAACTCGTGTGGAGACACCACCCGACTACACGGCAAATGTCGGGCTCGACAACGTGAGCATGACGTCTCTTGAAGCACGTGACCTTGACTGGCAGGATGAGGGTCGAGTACGGAGCTGTTACAAGACGTCCCCACAGCCTGGACACCTGAGCAGGGAGGCTGACTCACCCACCATCCAGGACAAGACAAAGGACTGGATGTACTTCATCAGGAAAGCTGGGCTTGAGGAGATGATGGAGTCAGACCCTACCAGAGACGAGGACAGGAGGACACCGGTCCAGGGCAAAACCACCAAGAACAAGCACAAGGCAAGGAAGGAGAGGCTTGTCCTACCCAGCCTGACTTCAGATCCAGGATTGATGCTGCAGGGAACCAAACTTCACACACCTGGTGAGTTTTGTAGTGTAGGAACCAAACTTCACACACCTGGTGAGTTTTGTAGTGTAGGAACCAAACTTCACACACCTGGTGAGTTTTGTAGTGTAGGAACCAAACTTCACACACCTGGTGAGTTTTGTAGTGTAGGAACCAAACTTCACACACCTGGTGAGTTTTGTAGTGTAGGAACCAAACTTCAAACACCTTTTTTGTGGTGTATGTTTAGTCACTGCAAGTATCAGATGTCTGATCTAGTATATTAAATTGCACATTGCACACCAATGAGTTAATCTTCCATTTGTCCTGTTTTATCCAGGTGTGAGCCTTCCCTCCATAGGAGATGGTGTTCTCTCCACTGCTGCCAGACCCAACATCCCTGATGAGGACATGGGAACACAGTTGCCACCGGTGAGTCTTGTACTTACATTCTGCCCATAACAATCAACATAAGCACTGTGTACCATGTAAGAGCCTTGGGAAGAAAGAGATGATTTTTTTCCTGTTCCATGACTGAAGGAGGACTGAGTGATAAGGTAGTATAAAGTCCTTCCCTGAGACAGAATGGCTGACTGGAGGAAACTGTAGCAGCTCCTGTCTTCTTTCTAACCGTTTCTTCTCTCCATGATGCCAGCTGCAGCTGTCTTGTCCTGTTTCTAACCATTTCTTTTCTCCATGATCCACACCAGCTGCAGTTTGGCACCAAGCAAGTCGGGAAGACGACATCAGAAACTGTGACCTTCAAACAGCCCAGCGACAAGTCCAAAGTCCGCAGCACCAAGCGGCGCCAGAAGACCGACCGCGCCTCGCTGAAGGACAAAAAGTCCCAGAAACGGCGCCATAAAAGCCCCGACCCCTCATCACCTGACTTGTAAGTTTGGTGGAACAGTGGATGCCTTACCATCATGCCCAGAATATTTATTGGCAATGATTCATGTGTGTATTTATATAACTATGTGTAAAACTGTGTTGCCATTGTCAATCTCTGTTGTTGAATTTTCAGTATCTAAACAGTGTGTATATATAATCATTTTCAACAACCGCACCTGATACTGTGTGCATAATTATTTTCAACAACAGCACCAGAAACTGTGAATATATTTCATTTTGAACAACAGCCCCTGAAACTGCTGTGTGTATATATCATCATGTTCAACAATAGAACCTGAAACTGTGAGTATATATTATTCTCAACAACAGCACCTGAAACTGTGAATATATTTCATTTTGAACAACAGCCCCTGAAACTGCTGTGTGTATATATCATCATGTTCAACAATAGAACCTGAAACTGTGAGTATATATTATTCTCAACAACAGCACCTGAAACTGTGTATATATTTATCACTTTCAACAACAGCACCTGAATCTGTGTGCATATATCATCAATCCTTTTCATCAACAGCACCTGAAACTGTGTATATATTATAATTTTCAACAACAGCACCCAAAACTGTGTGTAATATATATTATCACTTTCAACAACAGCACCTGAAACTGTGTGTATATGTAAATATTATGTAAAACTTTGTTGTTTAATCGACATTCAATGATTCCTGTGCAATCTTTCAGTAGTTTAATGTACAGCACCTGAAACTGTGTGTATATAATCATATGTAAAACTGTATTGTACATTATACCTAATAGTATATAAACTCCCAGTTGTTGAATGTACAGCACCTGTCATAATGTTCAGATAGAAATTATGCTGGAGAATGTTACATACCTTTCTGCAATCCTTATTGTACAGTCCAAAATACACATTTAGGTTGTTTAGGCACAAATTATGCTGGAGAGACAGAGTTTACAATGTACTAATTTATAGTCCCAAATTATGTCAGACTCTGTGCAATTGCTTTTTGTATACTGACACAAAGATTTGTATAATGACATGATGAAGTTTTGCATCCTGACATGAAGTTTGGTATCCTGACATGTGGTTATGTATAATGACCGGGGTAATTTTTAGTACATGTATGATATAGCACAATTTTGATGTTTATGCTGGGGAGAGAAAAAATTGTATTTGATTATCTGCACCTTTTTGTACAGCCCAAGATTGTTAGTGTTACAAATTATTTTTCATTTCAATCACTGTTATAGGTTGTTGGAGACAGTCCATGTGATTTTCCAACACTGCAACAGATCCTACGGGTCTTCCACACACCCCTACAGTAGTGTAACGGTCAGTGGACAAGTCTTCAGACTTGTACAGGAACTGGACACTCCCCCTCCACAGGTCCTACTGCAGACCATCTCATGTGTACGTTCCTCCACACTCCAGTTCTACTCAGGGTTACATGACACAGTCTGTCATAGATGGCTCACACGAGATGATCCCACTCCAACTACACCAGACCACACAGTACAGTTCCACTGCAGCTGGGGTGGGGGAGGGGACGTCAGGACCAACTCCACAGATAGGAGACACTTGTCTCTTTCAGACTGTTCAGCTTGCTCACACTGCCCCATCTGTCTGGCATGTCTCTGTGAGGTTCAGTGAGAGATTGATGGCTGCCCTGCACCCGACCTGCCAGTCGGGATGTCGGGCCCCATCCTTACTGGACACCACAAACCATGTCAGATTGTTAGCGGTGATGGGGGGTTGGACTAGTCCGTCAGGAACTTGTGCCTCCTATCTGTGGAGTTGGTCCTGACGTCCCCTCCCCCACCCCAGCTGTAGTGGAACTGTACTGTGTGGTCTGGTGTAGTTGGAGTGAGATCATCTCATGTGAGCCATCTATGACAGACTGTGTCATGTAACCCTGAGTAGGACTGGAGTGTGGAGGAACGTACACATGAGGTGGTCTCCAGTAGGACCTGTGGAGGGGGAGTGTCCAGTTCCTGTACAAGTCTGAAGACTTGTCCACTGACCGTTACACTACTGTAGGGGTGTGTGAAAGACCTGTGGGTTCTGTTGCAGTGTTGTAGAATCACATGGACTGTTTCCTACAACCTTTAACAATGGTTATGTTACATTCATTCAGTAATATTAATACACCTATGTGGACATGTGATGTTCTGTATTTTACACAAAGTCAGGACTAGCTTCATTATTTGTAGAATTTTTTATTTCATGTGGACTGTATAATTATATCATTTTAATGCTCATACACTGAATGTCAAGGATTTTCAATTCAAACTTAGCAACTGAAAAATATAACAAACAATGCAATATGACTTACACAAACTCCCCCTCTCAGGGTGACCAGGTTACACAGAAACACTGCTATAACAGAGATCAGACTTCATCTGTACATCTTTAGAACTGTGTATTAGTGTTCATCACAGATTTACCTGTATCATAAGACTCCAGCATGATTGACTGTACAGCTTTGTCTTACCACCATGTTAAGTCATGTAATATGTTACTGTAACATTGTAATGCATCTTCTAGTTTTTGTTGCATTCTGATCTGGAAGTTTTCATTATTAACAATTGTATACGATGTAACAGAAAACATTTGTGGAACTGCTATTGTGTGGTATACATGTAAACTAATGTATATATCTGTAACAGTTGATTTCACAGGTATGTAATGTCTTAACATCAGGTTAATAGTCCACATAATGTATAACATTGCATGTTTTCATTTTTATTATACTGCTCTGAAAATTTCCATCTGTAACAATATACAATAAGGAATAGAGTATTTGTGTAAATACCACTGTGCGATATGAAGTAAATTTTAGCAGTACCCCTTACTTAAAGTGATACAAACCATCTGTACCAGCTGACATGTCTGTTCACATTTCAAATTGCCAATAAATGTAACCATGTGAGGTATTTTCTGGCTCAGTTTCTCTTCAATCTGTCGAAGCTATGTTGGGCGGTTACCTTCCTCATTGTTGGTGAATAATGCATCAACAAAAACGGTTTCTCTGTCTCACCATCAACAAGACATGTGTCCCTGTCCCTGAAAAACACATTACAAGACTGGAGCCTCTGTCCCTGGTGCAGAATGACAAACCAACATATCTGGTGTCCCTGGTGCTGAAAGACACATCAACAACACTGGTGGTCCTGTCCTTGGTGCTGAAAGACGCATCAACAAGACTGGTGGCCCTGTCCCTGGTGCTAAATGACACACCAACAAGACTGGTGGCCCTGTCCCTGGTGCTGAAAGACACATCAACAACACTGGTGGTCCTGTCCTTGGTGCTGAAAGACGCATCAACAAGACTGGTGGTCCTGTCCCTGGTGCTGAATAACACATCAACAAGACTGGTGCCCCTGTCCCTGGTGCTAAATGACACACCAACAAGACCGGTGGCCCTGTCCCTGGTGCTGAATAACACATCAACAAGACTGGTGGCCCTGTTCCTGGTGCTAAATGACACACCAACAACACTGGTGTCCCTGTCCCTGATGCTAAATGACACACCAACAACACTGGTGTAACTTTCCCTGAATGACACATCAACACTGGTGGCCCTGTCCCCGAATGACACACCAATAACACTGGTGGTCCTGTCCATGGTGCTGAATGACACACCAACAAGACTGATGA